CACGCAGTTTCATTTCGACTGTTGAGTTATGTTGCGTTGAGAGTTGCTTCGTAGAACACTTGCTTTGAGAGGGGGAGAGGGGCAGCCGAGGATCGACAATCGACCACGACGACGACGTCTTCGCTTCAGAGTTCTTGGCATCGCTCGTACGCGTGTAGTTTCTCTCGGCGAGGGCCATCGAGGAGCATATTGCATCATCTTACGAAAAAATACACGCACGAAATCGAACAACAATACACGGGGAGAGCACGTCCGAGCGACGGCGAGAGTTTGTTGGAGGTTTTTGGTGGCTCTCGACTTCACGGCCAGAGGCGGCTCGGAAAATTGGCCGGGACGCATCCCAGGAGGGGTTTGGATACCAGTTTGTGATGTTCGAGGGTTGCAAACTTCCAGCGGATTTTTGTTTGCTCAGCTCTGGCGTCTTTCTTGAAGTTCGACCTCGTGATGGCAGCTTCTGGATCCAGGGGCAATGGAACATCGATGCCAGAACGAAAAGATGCCCGGACAAGAGGTTGGGTTGAAAAGTCGATGCGCCAGAAGCTTTGGATCGAGGATCGTGGTTGTCGCGAATATTTTGCCTTATTTGCCTCTTGAGGCCTCTGGGGACCTCCACGGACCTCTCGTTTAGGCCCGCATTCCTCTGGACCCCCTCGGAGCCCATAAGCCGAAGCGTCCTGAGGGCAAAGGGGTCCTGACCTTTCTCGTCATTGTCGGCTTTCTGGGGCCCTTCACTGACCCCTGGGCTGTCAGAGAACTACTCAGGATTGATCAGCTGGTCCCAGCGAGAGACGCTCGGGTATCCGGGGATCTCCAAGGGACCCCATTGAGGCCCACGACGCCGAGAGCCACAACGACGGCCTATTCGCACAGATTCTGTCGTGGAGCGTGTTTTCACCAAACTTCCCCAGGTCATAGAAGGCCTTCGCAGCCTTCCAGAGGGCTCGGGAGGCTCAAAATGAGCCCCAGACGTCGAAGAATCCTTCCACAAAGCTCCCCCTTTTTGTCCTCCGCCTCCTCGATGTTCGTCGTCGCCGTCGTCGTCGTGGAGTCCTCGTCGTCGTCGTCCTCGTCGTCGTATTCGTCGTCATCGTCGGCCGCCGAGGGCCGCCCGTGACCGCCGACGGCCGTCGCCGCGGCGCCGACGGCGGCGGCGGCGGAGGAGGAGGAGGAGGAGGAGGAGGAGGAGGAGGAGGAGGACGAGGAGGAGGAAGAGGAGGAGGAGGAGGAGGAGGAGGAGGAGGAGGAGGAGTACCCTCGCCTTCCCACCCTTCCCCCCCCCGAGGTTCGAGTGCGGCGCCCTGCGCGGCCTCCGCCGCGCCGCGCGCGCGGCGGAGGCCCGCGGGGGGCAGGAGGGCCGCGCGGCGCTCGGCGCGCTGCTGCAGGACCCGCGGGAGCGGCGGCGTCGCCGGCGACGTCGCCGTCGTCGTCGCCAACGTCGTCGTCGCCAACGTCGTCGTCGTCGTCGTCGTCGTCGTCGTCGACGTCGTCGTCCGCCGTCCGCCGTCCGCCGTCACCATCGTCGCCGTCGCCGTCGTCGCGGTCGTCGTCGTCGTCGTAGTCGTCTCAGCCGGCCCCCCCGGCGAAGCGGTCCAGCCAATGATGGCTCAGGTGCGCGCTTCGTTGGCGCGGCGGCGTCTCCACCGCGGCCGCGCCTCCCCTCCGCGGCCGCAGCCGCCATCGCGCACCCGGCCCCTTTTGGGAGGCTCCGCGGGCCGCTCGCGCCAACTGAGGCCGCCACTCCTCTTCCGCCTTCGCCTCGCCCTCCTCATCCTTATCCTCCTCTTCCTCCTCCTCCGCCTCCTCCTCCGCATCGTGCTCCTCCTCGCTCCTCCGTTCTCCTCCTCCTCCTCCTGCCTCCTCCTCCTCCGCCTCCTCTTGTTCCGCATCCTCTTTTCCCTCCTCTTCCACTCCTGTTCTTCTAAATAGCTCCCCCTTGTCGCACCCTTGGACGTGTCTGCAGGGCGGGCCAGACGTTTCGCTTGAGATTTCTATCCTACTTGGGATACTGAAGCTTGAAAAAAAGCTTGCAAAGGGCTTCGCGGATGGAGGGCGGGCGGTGTCCGAAGTGTGGTTCTCGCCTCGGCGCCGCGCGCATTCGTCTCAAAAGCCTGCACAGGACAGGCTTCACGGGTGGAGAGAGCGTGGTCTTCAACATGCCGTTTTCATCTGAGCGCCGCACACGTTCGAGTCAGAAGTGTGCAGAAGAGCGTCACGGTTGGAGAGCGGGTGGTTTTCAACATGCGGTTCTCGCGTTGGCGCCACGCACATTCGGTTCAAAGTTTGCAATGGTTATGCGGACGGATGGCGGGTCTTGTTCAAAACGTGGTGCTCGTTTTCACGCCGTTCGCAGTCATGTTCAGAGTCTGAAAGCGTTTCATGGTGGTGTTCAAAATGTCGTTCTCGCCTCAGCGCCACACATTCGTGTTAGAAGTATCCAAGAGTTCCTAGGATGGAGGGCAGGTGATTTTCAAAACGTCATATTCGCGTTAGCGCTGCGGGCCTTCTCGTCTTAAAAGTATGCAAGCGCTCAACAGATGAAGGGCGGGTGGTTTTCAACACATGGTTTTCGCGTTAGCGCACATTCGTTTTAAGATTTCGCAGCAGGTTCAAGATTTCTGTTGGTTGACGTCCCAGGAAGACCATTCCGCGACACGATTTAGCATTGCGAGGGCGCAACGGTCACGTTGATACGCGGTGTTGAAGTCCCAGGAGTTGTGTTCTGACACGATCCAGGAACGTCAGGACGCAACAGTAATTGTGATTCGTGGCGCTGGAGTCCCAGAAATAACATTTGGCACGGTTTGGGGATGTTCACATGGTTGTTTGCCAACGGAGTATTTCCCGCAGTGAAAATGTTCTTTTTGGAACCTATTGAGAGGGAACCCGGAGAGAGGCTTGATTGCAGTATCGTTGATGCGTCTTGGATCTTGGGTTAACATGTGTCATTATCCTTCTTTTCTTCCGCCTTTGAAGACGGTGCTGGTGCCAACACGCATCTTTGCCAACAGGAGGAGCGGAGCGCACCACCTCTCGCACAGTTGGTCAGCTCCGTCCGCTCCGTTCCTCCTCCTCGTCCTCCTCGTCCTCCCTCACTGCCATGCCTTGGGTCTCGAGTTTACGCTGGTCCTCCTCCGATTCTCTGCGGCCGCAGCAGCGATCGCGCACCAGCCCAGCCCCCCTGGGAGGCTCCGCGGGACTGGGCGTCGCCGCGCCGCGCTTCCGCGAGACGCGCGCGGCCGGCAACGCCCGTCCACGCCGGCCAAGGCCGCCCCTCCCGCCTCATCCTTATCTCTGTCCCTCTCCTCCTCCTCCTCCTCCGCCCCTCCTCCTCCGCCTCTGCCTCGTCCTTCTACTCCTCATCCTCGTCATCCTCCGCCTCCTCCGCCTCGGCATCCGCCTCCTCCTCCACCACATCCTCCTCCACCCGCCCTCCTGACATGGTCATCACACCCAGAACTCCATCCGCCCTCCTCCGCCTCCTCCTCTTCCTCCTTTTCCTTTTCCTCCTCCTCCTCCTCCTCCTCCTCCTCCTCCTCCTCCTCCTCTTCCACTCCTTTAAAGACACTCCTCCCTGTCGCACCCCGAGACGTGTCGATAGGGCGGGCCAGGAGTTGCGCCCGAGACTTCGCTCGCCCCCATATATGAGACTGGAGCCTAGCGGCGTGCAAGAGCTTTTACGGTTGGGATGGCTGGTAATGTTCACCATGCGGCTCTCGCATTTGCGCCGCGCACAGTCATCTTGAACGCTGGTGTTCGAAATGCGGTTATCGTGGAAGCGCCGAACACATGTGTGTTAGGCGTTTGTGCGGCTTCACGGTTGGAAGGCGGGTGGTCTGTTAGATGCGGTTTTCGCGTAAGTTCCGCGCGCATTCGCCATGAGAGTGTGTAAGAGTTCTTGAGATGGAGCGAGGGTGGGTCTCAAATGTTCAAAGCTTGCAAGGGTTCTACAGAAGGAGGGCGGATGGTTTTCAAGATGCGGTTCACGCACAGGTTACAAGAGCTCCACAGGTGGAGAGCGGTTGATTTCAACATGTAGTTCTCACTTCAGCACTTCAGCGCCGCCCAAATTCGTTTTTAAAGTATAGCAAGAGTTGCATCGCTGGGAGGCAATACATTTTTCAAACTATGGGCCGAGCAAACTCGCCTCAAAATAATGCAAGTGGTTCACGCATGCAGGGAGTTTGTTTTTCAAAGTGCGGTTCCTCGCTTAAGCGCCGCACGTATTCGTCTCGACTGGTTGCAGGCGCTTCACGGATAGAGAACGGGTGGTTTTCAAGATGTAGTTCTCGTCTAAGCACCACGTACATTTCTCGTCGCGGCGCGACAGGGGCAGTCCGCATTGGCGTTCGAGTTGCCGTGACACATAGAGAGAGCGAGAGAGAGAGAGAGAGCCGCGCACACTCGCTTTCAAAGTTTACAAGAACTCTACGGAAAGAGGGCGGACGGTGTTCAGAATGCAGTCCTCGCATTGTCGCCGTGCAGATTCGTCTAAACAATTGGCAAGAGCTTCACGGATGGAGACCGGGTTGTTTCCAAAATGTGGTTCTCATTTCAGCGCCGTGCGCATTCGTTTTAGCAGATCCCAGAGGTTCCATTGATGGGGGTAGTTTCTTTGCAAGATGTGGCTCTCGCACTATCGCGGCGCACATTCGTCTGACAAGTTTACAAGAGCTCCACGGGATGAGGGCGGACCGTTTTCGCAATGTGGCTCTCGCGTTAGCGCCGCGCATATTCGCTGTAAAAGCTGACGGCCATTTCAAGGATGTTGTTGGTTGACGTCCCAGAAATAACTTTCCGTCACGATGTAGCACTGTCAGGGCGCAACAGTCACGTGGATTCGGTGCTGAAGTCCCACGAGTGGCGTTCTGGCGCGATCCAGGATCAGTAGGACGCAACAGTAAGTGTGATTCGCGGCGCTGAAGTCCAAGAAATGGTGTCTGGCACGAATGAGGATTCTCAAAGGTTGTCTTCCAGCAGAGCATTTTCCGCAGTGAAACTATTATTGAATCGACTCGCTCATTTCGCCGGCCCGTGTTGTGCCATGGGCGGCGTTTGTCTGCGTGTTGGTAGGGCGCGCGGCGTTGCTGGGCTGTGGTCGTGTCCCGGGGGCGTTGTGACAGCACGCATTGGGGGGGCCTCCTGGGGCCGCTCGGGGGCCTCTTGGGGGCGTCTTGGGGGCCTCCTGAAGGCTCTTGGGGGCCTCTTGGGGACTCTTAGGGACCTCTTGGGGCTTCCTGGGGGCCTCTGAGGACCGAGGGCTCGAAATGTTGTTTCGAACTCCCCCTCTGGGGCCGCTCTTGGAGAGCTCTGGGGGCCCTCTTGGGCCGTCTGGGGGGCATCTTGGGCCCTCTTGGGGTGATCTTGGGGGCCTCTTGGGCCGTCTTGGGGCGTCGGGAAGCCGAAAAGATGGAAGCACCAAAATCTGTCCAAAACCTTAGGACAATCAGTGAATGTTGCATCTTGGGGCCCTCTTGAGAGTGCTCTTGGAGGCCTCTTGCGGCGTCTGGGGGCCATCTTGGGCGTCTTGGAGCGATCTTGTGGCATCTTCGAGTCCTCTTGTATCATCTTGGGGGCCTCTTGGAGGCCTCTTGACCCTTCTTTGGGCTCTCTGGAGGGTCTCGAGGGCGGCGCCCAGACCGAAAACCATCTCTGATCCGACCCTCCCGGGACCCTGCCGTGGTACTTTTCCTCCGGGGACCCCAGGGGCCGCCCCCGCGCGCGAAGTAGAAGTATTGTAAAGGAGTTATCGGAGATCTTAGCACGTCTCTGCAGAGCACTTTCCGCAGTGAAACTATTATTGTAGGGATTTTTGAATGGGGAACTTGGAGGGAGGGTTGACTGCAACATCGGTGATGCTTCTTGGGCCTTAGGTCTACGCTGGTCCTCCTCCTCCTCCTCCTCCTCCTCCTCCTCCTCCTCCTCCTCCTCCTCCTCCTCCTCCTCCCCGGGAGGATGTCAGATGTCGCACGTGCAGGCCTACCAACCCTGTGCAGCCATCGGGGAGTCCCGAAACTGCTTGCTGGGGATGGGGGCCACCAGATTTTTCCCAACCATCCTGTGGTGTTGGGTCCTCGTTTTGAAGAGACGGTGGCCCGCGTCTCCTCTCCTCCTCTCTCCTCCTCTCCTCCTCCTCCCCCTCCTCCCTCCTCTCTCCCCCTCCGCACACCCATTTCTGCACACCCCTCACACGTTTCGTGGTCCCATAGGGAGTTCCACCGAAGGTCCCAGTGGGTGTGCCCGCATGCGTCCCGCACACCCATTTCGGCACACTCCTCACACGTTTCGTGGCCCCATAGGGAGTTCCACCGAAGGTCCCAGTGGGTGTGCCCGCATGCGTCCCGCACACCCATTTCGGCACACCCCTCACACGTTTCGTGGCCCCATAGGGAGATCCACCGAAGGTCCCAGTGGGTGTGCCCGCATGCGTCCCGCACACCCATTTCGGCACACCCCTCACACGTTTCGTGGCCCCATAGGGGGCTCCACCGAAGGTCCCAGTGGGTGTGCCCGCATGCGTCCCGCACGCGGTCACATAGGGAGCTCCGCCGAAGGTCCCACCGCATGCGTCCCGCACACCCATTTCGGCACACCCCTCACACGTTTCGTGGCCCCATAGGGAGTTCCACCGAAGGTCCCGGTGGGTGTGCCCGCATGCGTCCCGCACACCCATTTCGGCACACCCCTCACACGTTTCGTGGCCCCACTCCACCGAAGGTCCAGTGGGTGTGCCCGCATGCGTCCCGCACACCCATTTCGGCACACCCCTCACACGTTTCGTGGCCCCATAGGGAGCTCCACCGAAGGTCCCAGTGGGTGTGCCCGCATGCGTCCCGCACACCCATTTCGGCACACCCCTCACACGTTTCGTGGCCCCATAGGGGGTTCCACCGAAGGTCCCAGTGGGTGTGCCCGCATGCGTCCCGCACGCCCATTTCGGCACACCCCTCACACGTTTCGTGGCCCCACAGGGGGTTCCACCGAAGGTCCCAGTGGGTGTGCCCGCATGCGTCCCGCACACCCATTTCGGCACACCCTTCACACGTTTCGTGGCCCCATGGGGAGCTCCACTGAATGTCCCAGTGTGTGTGCCCGCATGCGTCCCGCACACCCATTTCGGCACACCCCTCACACGTTTCGTGGCCCCATAGAGGCTCCACCGAAGGTGTTCTCGTTTGGAAAGGCTAACGGTGGTGCTTCGGCATTTTCGAAGCGGGCGCGATCCTCGTGTGGGGCGTGCCGACATCGGCGTCGCGGCGCGCGGGCGCTGCCGTCGGGGTTCCCAGGGAAGCCCCTGCAGGGGCTACGCCACACAATTCGGTACACCTTCATACGGTTCGTGGCCCCATAGAGAGCGCCACCCGAGAAGATATTTACAATTGCGGTACTCACAACTGCATATGGTTGGGTTCTTCGCCAGGATAAGGGCCTTGGGTCTACGCTTGTCCTCATCCTCCTCCTCCTCCTCCTCCTCCTCCTCCTCCTCCTCCTCCTCCTCCTCCTCCTCCTCCTCCTCCTCCTCCTCCTCCTCCCTGGGAGGATGTCAGTTGTCGCACGTGCAGGCCTACCAACCCTGTGCAGCCATCGGGGAGTCCCGAAACTGCTTGCTGGGGATGGGGGCCACCAGATTTTTGACGACGGCGGGAGCAGAACCCCTCCCGAACGCCCTGCGGCCACCGCCCTTGGAGCGAGCCTCCGCTGCCGCCAGCCTTAAGTCGGGATTGTCCCTCTACAGGTGGAATATTCAAAAATTGCAAAAAAAAAAAAAACTCAGGGGACGATTGTTTTTGTTAGCAATTAGTTTACCATTTGGGAGTATTTTTGGAGTGTGTTTTATTTCTCGTCGAAGATCCCCCTGTGGGGGGGCATGCCCGACTTCTCCCTTGGAGCGAGCCTCCGCTGCCGCCAGCCGCCATCGCGCACCAGCCACCCCCGGGAGGCCTGGGCCGAGGCGGCGCCGCGCCGCGCCTCCGCGAGACGCGCGTGGCCTGCTCCGCCCGCCTGCGCCGGCCGAGGCCGCCCCTCCTCGTCCTCTGCCTCCGCCTCCGCCTCGCCCTCCTCCTCCTCCTCCTCCTCCTCCTGCTCCTCCTCCTCCTGCTCCCCTCCTCCTCCACCTCCTCCGCCTCCGCCTCCTCCTCCTCATCCTCCTACTCCTCCTGCTCCTCCTCCTCATCCTCCTCCTCCTCCTGTCCTCCTCATCCTCCTGCTCCTTCTGCTCCTCCTCCTCCCTCCTCCTCCTCCTCCTCCTCCTCCTCCTCCTCCTCCTGCTCCCCTCCTCATCCTCCTATTCCTCCTGCTCCTCCTCCTCCTCCTCCTCCTCCTCCTCCTCCTGCTCCTCCGCCTCCTCCTCTTTTTTCTGTCCTTCCTAAGCACTTGCAGCCTCGCGCACGAGAAGACATGGCCTCTCTCGGCGGAAGTCCCCAGGTGTTCCTTGGCATCGAAGAAGAAAAAACGCCATAAACTATAAATTGTTGGTGCTCCGCGCGGATTTCTTTGATCTGCGCTGGGCCCCCCCCCGGCGGCGCCTCCAGCGCCGCCCGTGGCGCCCTCCGCGCCAGGGAGGGGGGTCAAGCGCGGATCCAAGAAGTTCGCGCGGAGCGCCAAAAGTCAATGTTTACGGCGTTGTTTCTTCTATGGCAGCCAGGAGTCCAAGAAGCCCTCTGGCTCCCCGATCTCTCTAGGAGGCCGCCAGCCTGGCGCCACCCATTTCTGATCGCGCCGCCAGGTTCGTGCCGCGTTGACGCGGCGGCATCTCCAGCACGGGCGTTCAATGTGGAGCATTGCCCGTGGCCTGGGATCGACCGACATCGAATGGTTTGCGCCATCGGAAAGCCTCGATCGTTTACGGCTGAACGGTGCCAGAAGCCAGCGCCGCCGTCATCGCGACAGGAGCCAGTCGTATTATTCCTTCTCTCCTCCTCTCGGGGCGGACTCCTCAGAGTGGGGGGGGATTGCGAAAAGCGGGGGGGGGGGGCACAACATTTGCTGCATGCAGCTGGCTTCGGCCCGCCGAGCATGCAGCTGAGTCGCTGCCCCCCGTTGCCACCCCCCGAATCCGATACGCCATTGGGCCATCGGGCCATCGCTGCGCCCGCCCACCGGAGAGCTCATCCGGGCCGCCTAGATGGGGTCGGAGTACAGTCGGGGCGCTGAAGAAGGAACCCTTTTGGTTGGGGAGGGGCTCCGCGTTCCCTCATTGCTTTACAGTTTGCCTTGGATTTTCCTTTGGTTTTCGATGGGAAATCGAAGTTCAACTTGTGGAAAAAAAGTGCCTCGTTCCTTATGTAGGGTTCCTTAGGTCAACGCCCCGACTGTAGACGGGGTCGGAGGATCGCGCCGCATCGCGGATGCATCGCCGATGCGGCTCGATGCAGAGCCCGATGTCCTTCACGTCGATCCCTTCACGCCATTCCCCTTTGCCACCCTTCGCTAGAGTCACCTTTGGTGCAGGCCCACCAGGGTCCCCCCAGCACTGGCCCGAGGCGGCTTACCCGCTTGGCTTCGGCCCCCCGTGGTCCCCGACAGGCGTGCACCTGGGGCTGCTCTTGCCCAGGATCACTCGTACGCGGAGGTTGAGCATCGTCTCCATCCGTCCGCCCGTCGTTCATGGTCGTGGAGGGTACCCATCGGTCGTTGAAAGTAGGTATTTCTGGCTTCCCAGATTCTACTCTACTTCAGTCGCCTTCATACTCCACTCATCGAGTGGCCTCGCCTTTTCCGTCCACTCTGGGGGGCGGACGGAGCCCAATCTACTTCAACGCCGTCCCAGTTCATGTTTCCACCTGCCTCTTCCGACCGATGGGTACCGTTTCACCGATCCATACCTCCATCCCGATCCCCACCATCCCACCACCCCAGTTGGGAATCTACCCCTCGAAACCCGAAGGGAACAGCCTGTATCCCCATCTGTGCGGCCCACGCGACGCCAGTGGGGACACGGAATGGTTAAGCGATGCTCAGGGAGGGGGAGAGGGGCGACGTCCCGCCTCACCGAGGCGGTGCCCCAGAGGCGCCCGCGCGGCTGTGCGCCGGCAGGCAATGATCTAGCCGGCCGCGCCGCCGCGCAGACCCAGAACCGCCGCCCACAGTCGACGGCCAAGGAGGAGGAGGAGGAGGAGGAGGAGGAGAATGAAGAGGAGGAGGAGGAAGAGGAGGAGGAGAACGAGGAGGAGGAGGAGGATCTGAGGAGGAGGATCCGAGGAGGATCCAGGGGGAGCAGGAGGCGGATCGAGCAGGGCCCATGTCTCATGCCTGCGACTGGTCGGGGCGACGCTGCTTCGCTACTCGGTGCCAGCAGGCCGGTTTCGAATTCCGCGGCTATCCAAACTCGATTAGACGTAAGAGTGACCTTTCGCCGAAGTGACCTTTGGTGCGGGCACAGATGAGTCCCTAGATGGCTGAAAACGAAGCAGTAGCAGCTGGTTGCGCGCCCAGGTTTGGCCCCCCGCGGCCCCCAAAAAGCCGCGCACCAAAGGTCACCCTTACCCAGGGTCACTCTTGCGTGTAGCCGACAAACACGATCGGGAAGGGGTCAAGAGTTTGGCCCCAACGTTATGAGAACAAGAAAAGAAACACGACGCCGGAAGTCTGGCACCGCGCCGTGAGGTGGGAACAGGGCAGCGGGAAGCCAAGCACGGCAGCAATGCATGTCAACAGGCACACTGAGGCGATGCTCGAGCCGACGCCCGAGATTTTCATTTGCCAGGGAGTTGAAATTTCGGGAACGAGCGCAATACACACACGCAAACACATACACGTTTTGCTTGAACGAGCGTGTTTTACCGCTGTTGGCGGAAAACCGGGGGGGGTCACTGGGGTTCCCAACCCGTCCCCTCCCCCTCCGAAAACCGGGCGGGGGTCACTACCGGTTCGAGCCCCTCCCCCCCAGTCCATCATAAAAAGGGGGGGGGTCGCTACCAGTTCGATCCCCCATCCCCCTCGAAAACCGAGGGGGGTCACTACCGGTTCGACCTCCCCCCCCCTCGCCGCTGGCAAACGATTCCCGCTCCTCGGCACAGTTGGACAGTGGTGGGGATACTGGGACAGTGGCGGGAAGAGTGGTGGTGGGGACAGTGGTGCAGGGACAGTGGGACAGTGGTGCGGACAGTAGTGGGGACGGTGGTGGTGGGGACAGTGGTGAGAGGACAGCGGGACAGTGGTGGGGACAGCGGGACAGTGGTGGGGACGGTAGTGGTGGGGACAGTGATGAAGGCGGTGGTGAGGACGGTGGTGGGACAGTAGTATAGTGGGAGAGTGGTAGGGACAGTACAGTGGGGATAGTGGGACAGTGGGGACAGTAGGACAGCACAGTGGGACACCGGCGGGGACAGTGGGACAGTGGTGGGAATTGGGGACAGTGGGACAGTGGTGGGGGCCGTGGGGAACGTGGGGAGAGCGGGACCGTGGTGGGACAATGGTGGGGAGAGTGGGGACAGTGAGACATTGGTGGGGGCACTGGTGGGGACAGCAGGGACAAGGGTGGGAACAGTGGGGACAGTGGGACAGTGGTGGGGACTGTGGGACAGTGGTGGGGACGGTGGTGGTGGGGAAAGTGGTGGGGGGACAGTGGGAATGCGGTGGGGACAGTGGGACAGTTGTGGGGACAGTGGTGAGGTCGGTGGCGAGGACGGTGGTGGGACAATGGGACAGAGGTACAGAGGGGACAGTGGTGGGGACAGTGGGGACAGTGGTGGGAACAGTGGGACAGCTCAGTGGGACAGCGGCGGGACAGTGGGACAGCGGGGACAGTGGGGACAGTAGGACGGTGGTTGGGATCGTGGGAACAGTGGGGAGATTGGGACCGTGGTGGGAAATGTGGTGGGGACAGTGGGGACAGTGCGACAGTGGTGGTGAGGACAGTGGTGCTGGGGACAGCAGTGGGGGATGTGGTGCGCACGGTGGTGGGGACCCGGGAGTCGTTTGCCGGAGGTGAGTGGGGGGTGGATTCGAGCCGGTAGTGACCCCCCCGGTTTTCTGGAGGGGGGGGGTTCGAACCGGTAGTGACCCCCCCCCCCGGTGTTTTGGAGGGGAGGGGTTCGGCTGGTAGTGACCCCCCCTGGTTTTCTGGAGGGGGGTGGGGTTCGAACCAGCAGTGACCCCCCCGGTTTTCTGGAGGGGGGGGGGAGGGGTTCGAACCTGTAGTGACCCCCCCGTGGTTTTCCGGAGGGGGGGAGGGGTTCGAACCGGTAGTGACCCCCCCCCCGGTTTTCCGGAGAGGGGGGGGAGGGAAGGAGGTTAAGGGGGGGGGGGGCCAGGGGGAAGGGGGGGGGGAGGGGGGGGAGGGTCCAGCACGGGGGGGGGATTTTCGGAGGGGGGGGGACCCCAGGGTTCCGGAGGAAGAAGGGGAGGGGGGGGGGCATTTTCCACAGTAAAGCGGCGGTGGATCACACTCTCTCTGTTTGCACGCGGCCAGGGAAGAATCCACACGAGCATCCAAAGGCAAGCCTACTGAAGTCCAGGTGCGTCGAATTTGCAGCTGCGGTGAGCGCAAGGCGAGACAATATCACATACACACGCGCGCACGCACACACGCACACTTTCAGCTTCAGCCGCCTGTTGAGTAGCTACACCCCCAGCCCCTCACGTTGCGGTGTCAAGTCACACGGCATTTGACGGCAACGGCCGAAACAGGTTGGAGCAAGTTGAGTCAGCGGTAAAGTCGTGGAGCGAGTAAGGCGCGAGCCGAGTCGCACGTGTTGCGGCAGCGCGCAGCACACGTTTGCCGCAGTACAGCGCGGTGGCGGACATCTTCAAGAGTTGTGGCTCGTGCAGCAGGCAGTGCAGCAGGACATTCGGCGCCCTGTGCGACCCCCTGCGCAGGGTGCTCGACAGACCCCTCGGGAGCTACGCGTTCGCGACGGGGGCGGTGAATCTGTTATCGGGTCTGCTGTCGATCCTCTCGCTCGTCGGCGACATGAATTGCTCTGGTGGCGATTCCTCTGCCAAGCTGTACGCCATGATGAACGTGGGTGCCTGCATAATGCATGTCGGCTTCGCGCTGTATTTGCAGCAGAAGCTCGTGGCTGGACTCCAGCGGAATGCCGCTCTCGGCCACCAGGGTAGCACCGCCAGGCAGCTCATGAAGGAGGCGGGCGATATTGTGTTGTACGATGTGGGTTTCTGCATCTACGTGTTCTTGTTCATCGCGGCATTTGCGCTACAGTTCTGGGGCTTATCGGTTCTCGGCAATTGTAGGAATCCGGGCATGGTTTGGGGGGCGGCGATTCATCAGGCTGGTGCTACATCCGCCATCCCCTTGATGTGTTGAGACTGCGGTTGAGACTGCGGTTGGCCCAAGCAGGTGTTGACGAAGGCTAGTGCAAACGATCAGGGGAGGAGAGACGAGAAGAGAGCGAGGAGGATCCGTAGCAGAGAAGGAGGAGCATGAGGTCGAGCAGAGGAAAACGAGGAAGGAACTGAGGCGGAGACTTCGGAGGAGAACTGGGGAAAGGGGGGGGGGGGGGGGAAGGCAGAGGGTACGGTTTACATGTAATGATAATGGCGCCAAGCTTGGGCCCTTACTGGGATGTCTGGGGGCCCTCTTTGGGGCCTTTCGGGCCGTCGTCGGATGTCGTGGTCCCCTCTGCGGGCCCTCCCTGGGCCATCTTGGCGCCCTCTGGAGGCCCTCTTGTGGCGCTCCAGGGCAGCCTTGGGGCGTTTGGGGTTATTATTGTGCCGTCTTGGGAAGCTTCTGGGCCACACTCCTTGCCCCCCCAAGTACTCCCGAGGCCATCGTGGGCCGAAAAGCTTGGGAGGCCACAACCAGAAACCGCGCAACTCCTTCGGTGTTCCATGATTGGGGCCGTCTGCTCCTGAGACCTCTCGTGGGCTTCTCTCCTGGGCCGCAAGGGAGGCCTCCCTCGGCGCCGTCCTGGGCCAGGCTTGGGCTCCAGCGATGGTGCCTCCTCGTCATCTCTCCCCCTTGGGCTGGGGAGGGGCCGGCGCATAACCCTCTCCAATGCTGGGATCCCGAGGGATCGGCGAATCCTCGAGGTGCTCTTCTGCAAGAGCGCTGTTGCGTTCGGCCTCTGCTGGTACTGCGCCATGTCGTGCGGCGGCTGCTGCGGCCTGCTCCCGAGCGGCACGTCGCAGCCGCTCGCGGGGGGCAAGCACCAGCGGCAGCACGAGCCCACGGGGCTCGCCAGGTCGACGGCTCAAAGATGGGGCGGGATGGGGCCCTCAGGACGAGAGATGCCTCAAACAGTGTAAGACCACCCTTGGATCCCGTCCTGTCTCGTGTGGTCCCTATCTCTCAGGGTCATGATTTTTCGGAGCGTCGACCCCCAGAAGTCTCGACCCATGCCCCGGGACCGGTTCCTCATCCTGAGTCGTTTCTACCACGGCCTCGAGGCCCGTTAAGGGCCCCCAGAGGCCGACAGCAGTGGAGAACCTCCCGTCGCGATGCTTCATGACCCGAGGGGACATGGGTGCTTGATCCGCCGGCGAGGCTCATCGTGGGCAGCTCCAGCACGGCGCGGCCGCCGGCGCCCGACCCCGGGACGACCGTGCTGGGCACGCCGGCCCAGCCGCACCCGGCCCCGGCCGCGGGCTCCGCGCCGCCGCGCCAGCAGGCGACGGCCGCGGAGGCGGGGGCGGCGGCCGCGGCGGGCGCGATGAGCCTCGCGGGCAAAGGCCGGCCAGCCGCATCGCTCGGACGTGTGCATGTTTCCTCCGGCGAGGACAATCGAGGAGCATCCCTGCTCGCTTGGCAAAGAAACCACGCACGAGACCGAAGAAAGCACAGGGGATGGACGTCCGAGCGATGGCTTGGGGGGGGGGCCCGGTGCATCTGCCCACAGACCCAGGGGTCCAACGCATAAGAGAGAGGCCGAGGTGCCTCGCCGTGCTCGGGCTCCAGCTGCCCTCGCTGGGCCCAGGGGCCGTCGACAGGACGGTTCTTCAGCACGAGCAGCTGGTCCCCCCAGGAGTGGGTCGATGCCTCGGGGGGGGCACTGGACTGACACAAAATCAGGAGGGGAAGAAGCCCACAGACACAGTGCATCGTCGATTCCCAGGAAAATGTGGAAACATAATTGTGGGAAGTGGGGGGGAAGACAACAAAAAAATAGGGAAATCTGGGGGATCTTGTTTGATGTGTGTGTGTATCTATTTGTGTGTCCTGGGGCCCCTTCCGAAAAGTCAGGCCATCGGATCCCCCGGCGCCCGCCCCGCGGGGTGGCACCTGGGCCACCGCCGGGACATGTCCGTGCCCAGCTCCTCGGAGACGTGCCGTGGGGCCCCGAGGAGTGGTGGGTCACGGACCGCCGCCCGCCGCTGCGGGCCGGCAGATGTCCAGGAGGCAGCAAAAACATACACAGACACAACGAATCGTCGACTCCCCAAAAAGTAGGGGAAAGATATGGGAAGTGGGGGGGAAGACAGAAACCCAGAAAGTATTGAGAAATATTGGGAATCCTGTCATGTGTGTGTGTGTGTGTGTGTGTGTGTGTGTGTGTGTGTGTGTGTGTGTGTGTGTGTGTGTGTGTGTGTGTGTGTGTGTGTGTGTGTGTGTGTGTGTGTGTGTGTGTGCGTGTGTGTGGTGTGTGTGTGTGTGTGTGTGTGTGTGTGCGTGCGTGCGTGCGTGCGTGCGTGCGTGCGTGCGTGCGTGCGTGCGTGCGTGCGTGCGTGCGTGCGTGCGTGCGTGCGTGCGTGCGTGTGTGTGTGTGTATTTTTGTGTGTCCCAGGGCCCCTTCAGAGGAGTGGTGGGTCACGGACAGCCGCCCGCCGCTGTGGGCGGGAAGGTGTCCGCATCCACCGCTCCCCCAGGCGGGCCCCCCTGTCTGCTAGCATTGAGTCGGGCCTGTCCCTCTACAGGAGGAATGTTCAAACATTGTCAAAAATAGTCCGGGGACAATTTGTTGATTATGTTTGAGTATTTGTTATGTTTCTTCGAAAATCCCCCCGTAGGGTGACAGGCCCTACCTAATTAATGCTAGCAGCTCGCCGCCTCCTTTTTGGGGCCAGTTTTGTGGACTGTCCAGGGGGCGACTCGACTCGAGACCGTCCCCCGAGGAACCCGCCCAGAGATCGAGTTGGGGATCGACTGCAGAATCGCTTTACCCCCCACGTGAGTTTCCCATCGAATCCACAGATAATCTACAGCCAGTCTACGTATTTGTCGTAGCTTCGATGGGAAAAAATAAGATTCTGAGGTAGAGCTTCGAGGTGAATCAATGAGTAGCCAATCTCCTATTCGAAAAGAGCTCAGGGTGTCTGATGTCCCTGGCGAGTGCGCCCACCAGCATTGGCACCCCTCCCGAGATGCCGTCGGCACGGTGGTCAGTAGAGGGCCGAAGGAGGGCTCGTTGGTCAGTGGAGGGCCGCTTGAGACACTGGTACAGTCGGCCTTGATTAGCAGGTCGACCCTGTCACGTCCAGGGCACCCTTGTGTCATGTCTTCAGAGACCCGTGCTTTTCCCATTCCTATGGCAATGTTGCCCTCGGAAGGGTCTTGTGTCCTCTCGCTTGTCCACTCCAAGCAAGCCCGATTGTAGTTGGCCTTCGGAGGGCCCCCTCGTCGCCAGGGCTGGACTCAGCGCGGGAGACTGGTGCGTTTAGTCCGGGGTCAGATTTCCGGGGTTTAAGAGACGGGAGTCAATGCAAACGGGGGTCCGGATCCTGCAGGATCCTGCGAAGACCCCTTTGGCTGACCCGGGTTAGCGGGCCGCGAGGCGGCCGCGTATATTGGCTGACCCGGAATTGCGAAGCCCTGCGTTGCAGTTATTTTGTTCCTGAATTGCAGTTTTTTGATTTCCTGCTTACCCCGGGTTTGACTGACCCAGGTTTGCAGATCCCCGAATTTCGAGCTCCCAGTGTCTCAGACGGCCCTGTTCTGAGCTGAGACATCGACGGCTCTCGCGCCTGGCCCAGTTAATTCCCTGGACCCCTCCCGAGGTCCTCCCCGACCTGTTCCTCGAGGCAGATCCAGGCGTGGCGACGAGAAGCCTCCACAGGGAGGCCCAGAGGGGACGCAAAATACGGCGGGAAGGGGCCGCCGTCGCCTCGCCGGGCCCTCCTCCGAGATGCGGACGCACGACCCGTCGGAGAGGCCTGCGGGCGGCCGGCAAGCTCCTCGGTGCCGAGAAGAAGCCCCAGGGCCAGCCGGGCGGCGCCAGCCCAGGCGCGGCGCGGGCCACGGAGACCGAGTGAGAAAGAAGAGCACGCGCGGCCGGCCGGCGGCTCTCCTCCCGTCCCCCCCCCCCCGCGGGGGCCTCGGAGGTGGGGTCGATGCAGAGACGGGGGTCCGCCAGAGCGCCGGATCTCGCAGGATCCTGCAGAGCCAGGGTTGCACTGACCCTGGCTGGCGTGGCGGATCCTGCAGGATCCTGCCCGGCTGACCCCGGTTTGCACTGACCCAGGTCAGGTCAAGCAGTGGCGGAGCGTCTTGGCTCGCTTATAGCCCTACCAAACAATGTTCTAAGAGCTATGTGTGGCTTCCCCGAAATGTTCTTAGAACATTTCTGGATGGGACCGTCTCGTTTTGTCACATCGGGTTTACGTTCTGGGAACATCGCTTTTGTTCTTAGAACATATTTGGGCTCTAAGAACACTGCGCGGTAGGACTATAGGAATGCCAGGACGGTCGGTCCCAGCTCAAGTCAGTGCGTCGCCGACCACCGCGCCGCAGGCTCTCCTCGGCGCGCGGCGCCGGGCCCCGCGCGGCTTCCGCGGCGGGCTGCCGCCGCGGGCGGCGGCGGCGGCGGCGGCGACGGCGCCGAGAGGGCGGAGGCTCACGAGCGGCGAGCATGGCCGTGTCTGCATTCTGGGCCGCGGTCCCTCCTCGTCCTCCTCCTCCTCCTCCTCCTCCTCCTCCTTCTCCTCCTCCTCCTTCTCTTCTCCTCCTCCTCCTTCTCTTCTCTTCCTCCTCCTCCGGTCTGGATTCTGGGCCGCGGTCCCGCGGATGCGCGGCCCTGCGGACGCGCTCCGCGCAGGGCATCCGCGCCACAGGCGCCCCGTCTCCGCGGGATCGCGGCCCAGGGGCCCGGCCCGCGAGGCCTCGGACACGGACATGGTTTCGCCCACGACCTCCTGCCGGTCGCCCTTCCCCGACCGGGGGTTCACAGAGGGAGGACTGTCCAGAGGAGGGGAGGACTGCCCTGAGGAGGGACTCGGGAGCGAACCCAGCCGGATGCTCACAGCTCCTCCTGCCAGGGGCCTTTTGGGGTGATGTCCAGAGGGGAAAAAACACACAGACACAATTCATCGTCGACCCCCAGGAAAATATGGGAAACTATGGGAAGTGGGGGGGGAAGACGAAGACCAAGAAAATCCGGGCAAATACGGGGACTCCTGTGATTTGTGTGTGTATTATTTGTGTGTCCTGGGGCCCCTGTCACGATGTTCCTCCCCGCCTCTGCCCCTACCTCAGAGCGTGAATTACCTACCCCGCTTTCGCTTCCAGGCAAAACCAAGTCATACCACGCGCCTCCTCGTCAAGCGGCCTGACCAGTACAGGCCGTAGTTTGGCATCGCTTGGTATCTCTTGGAAGCGAGGGTGGTCAAAAGCGAGGTAGGTTTGTTTGCCCCCTACTACCCCACCGCTACGCCCTCCAGCGCCGAGGTGCGGGTGCCGCGTTGTGTCTCACGCCGGGCGTCTTCGCCCTCGCGGTTTCGGGGGGGCACCCTGGCCGCGGAGGTCCTCGCAGGTCTATCGGGCTCTCGCGCTTCGGACCCGGTGCCCGACAGGGCAGCTAGATTTGTGTCGGGCCTGTCCCTCTACAGGGGGAGTATTCAAAAATGGTTTTACTATATATATATATATATATAGATATTCAGGTTGACTATTTATGGACCATGTTTGAACATGTTTGGTGTATATTTTTTGTTGTTTTAACAAAAGTGTTGTCCAAAATCAGCCTGTAGGGGGACAGGCCCGACTCAAAGGTAGATGTCACAAGTTCATTGCTGGAATTATTGTTGCGACGGGCGTCGGCCAACGCGCAGTCCTGTTCGAAAATGCTCCCCCACGATTGGACGGACCGCGGAGGCCCTCACAGGTCGATCAGGTTCGCACTTCGGACCCGGTGCCCGGCATGGCAGCTAGATGTCAATTAATTGCTGGAATTCTTGCTGCGACGGGCGTCGGCCAACGCGCAGTCCTGTTCGAATATGCTCCCCCACGATTGGACGGAAGGGCTCATGAGCCCTCTGCCCGCGGTGACGGAGCTCTTGCCAGCGCAGCCTGCTACAGTGGAGCTCCTCCTCCTCCTTCTTTTGCTCCTCCTCCTCCTCTTCTTCCGCCTTTGACGGCGGTGCTGGTGCCAACAGGCATCCCTGCCGACGGGGCCTGCCCGCTGCTCGTTGACTATGTGGCCGCAGCAGGGCCACGACCAGAACGACATGCGTGGATGACGCTAACGCCGCATGGGGCCTCGGTTTCTGTTACGTCGCGGTTGAACGCTTCATGTTCAATGGGATCTGGTTTAAGGTTTGATGTTGTGTGGACCGCTTCTGTTGTTGTGGCAGAAGGCGGCCTTGAGACCGTTTCATTCATCAGCCCTCCGTCTTGCCTTCCGAATAGGCCTTGACCTCATCCCAGCGAGGTTCTTGAAATAATGCGCATTTTATTTAGCCGTTGCTGTCAACAAGTTGGCACTGTGCATCATCCGAGCCAGATTCTGGCCATGTGCTTTGGTGCGAGCATTGGGCGTACCCGTTGCACAAACGTTCTTCTGTGAGCAACCCGCAAAGTTCCAGAGGCATCCAATTGACCGCGAAGCGCGTCTTGACGCTAATGTTCCCCCCTCGGCTTGAGCGATTCGGCGCTTACGGGTCGAATGGCGTCGCATGCTGCCGAGAACGGAAAATGCCCCAAGGTCAAGGGCCGCGGTCGCGATTCCAATGTTGCAATTTTTCTCGACGTCGGATCGCAGGGCCCTTTCGGCAGGACCTCCCCGAGGACTTTCGGAGATCCCTAAGCCATTCGCACCCGATTTTGTTGGCCGCTGTTTGCTCTTGCCTCACGGCTTCCGACCTCACGAGTTGCTCATGACGTTTGCCCCTGGAGCTCTCGACTCCCGCAGTCTGGTTTTTTCTCGTCCCGGGTCGCTCCTCCAATATATCCGGGGCCGCTCGATACCGAGGAGAAGCCCGCCGCCCCGTTTGTCTCGTCTCGGAATCAGCTGAGCCACCAGCCGGTCTTTCGGCTTCTCCTTTGCGCGGTTCCTCACCCGCGCGGCGACCAGGTGTCGGGCCGCTTTCCTCACGATCGCTCGGGCGATCGGCTGGCCACGCAGATATTTCGTTTCTTCTTCTGGCGCGTCGCGGTCGATGCCCCGGCCAAGTTTCTTGCGCCCCCACCCCGAGGCAAGCAATGATAACGCTCGTACGACGGGGGGCGCGCAAACGATGGCCACCCCGCACCGGCGCGCCCCATCCTGCCCAAACGTCGCCGCCACCCGGGGCCCCACCCCGCCCCTGGGCAACGACAGCTACCCCAAAATAGCCAAAACGCAATTTCGCAGTCCATCCTCGATCCGCCCGAGGCCGCCGATGAACGCCGATGGCCGCGGCATGATCGTAGCCGCCGTCGTCGTCCCCTGACGTCCAATGTCGCTCTGGCGTGGTCAGTGCGCGGCCCCCAGATGTCCTTTCATTGGGACGGGCTATTCATGGTGGGCGTCGGACGAGCAGGTCATCGAGTCGCCTGCCCCCGGCGCCGTCAACCCTTAACCTGGGAGCGTTTTTTGCCACGTTTGTCACGGGGCGTTTTTCGGCGACCATGTGAGGCTGGATGCATTGAATTGCCTCCCAAGGTTTGTCGGCGGCCGCCAAAGGGCGCGGCGGCCGCACCGTTCGGTGAGCCGATGGAGACCCAGGGCCCCGCACGGTTTCGGGACGCGGCTCGTTCCGCGAGGATGTCTCGGGCGGCTGAGGCTTCGGAGGTCCCCGAACCGCGCGGCGGGTGACCGCGCGGCGGGGTCTTCGGGATTTCGAGATCACCGCGCGGGCGCGGCTCTGGGAACCCCGTGTTTCGACTTTTGAGCTTCGCATGGGGTCTGGGCCCCTCCGCGACTCCAGAACAGGCGCGGCATGGGAGAGGGGGCTGAGCGGCAGAAGCGGGGGGGCGAGGAGGAGGGGGCGAGGGAAAGGAGGAAGAGTACCCCCCCCCTTCCCCCCCCCAAGCCCCCCTCCTCAGGCGCTGACTGATCGAGGCGGCTTCGGAAGCGCTTCCAGGGAGCGCAGACCACCCTTTTCTTGCAAACCGCACGCGTCGCGCGGCTTCGGAAGCGCTTCCAGGGAGCGCAAACCTCTTCCTCTTCCTCTTCCTCGTCGTCGTTTTCCTCTTCCTCGTCAGGGATGAGGAGCGGGAGGAGGAGCAGCCGACAGGGAGCACGGGCGGCAGGGGCCTCTCGCGGGCGGTGCTTCGGAGAGGAAAGAGAAAGGAGGAGGAGGAGGAGGAGGAGGAGGAGGAGGAGGAGGAGGAGGAGGAGGAGGAGGAGGAGGAGGAGGAGGAGGAGGAGGAGAGAGGAGGAGGAGGAGGAGGAGGAGGAGGAGGAGGAGGAGGAGGAGGAGGAGGAGGAGGAGGAGGAGGAGGAGGAGGAGGAGGAGGAGGAGCAGACGACAGGACCTCCGGGGAGAGGCCACGGGGGCCCCCTCGCGCTCCTGCGGCCCCGAGGAGCTGCTGCTGAAGCAGTCGAGCATGCGGGGCGGCCTCGCCGAGGCCGCGGGGGCTCGCGCGATGCGCTGTCCCCGCCCAGGGGTTCCTCGTGGGCGACCATCGCGCCCCCCTACAAGTCGGGCGTGTCCCTCCACCGGAGGAATATGAAAACACAGTTTTGTCATAAAAAATGTGTACATGTGTATATATGTGTATATACATATACATATAACTATATATATGTATAAATATTAAAAATGGGGACGATGCACCGAATAGTTGTGCACCGAATAGTTGTGAGTCTGTTTGAACATGTTCTCCATATGTTTCATCTCGTTCCTCCAAACTCCGCCCGTGGGAGGACCCGCCCGAGCTAACCCTCTCACCAAGTCCCCCACGACGCCGCACACGATCCCAGAGCCCGCAGCGCCAAGACGAGCCCCCAAGAGGACTCCAAGGCGACCCCACGGCGCCAAGACGATCCCCCTGGGGCCTCTCGTGGGTGGCCATGTCCAGTCGAGGAAGAAACGACATGGGCATAAATTTCAGGAGTTCCTCGCAGATTTCTTCGATCTGCGCTGGACCGACCCTCCTGGGGACGCCTCCAGCGCCGACACTGGCGCCTTCCGCGCCCCCAGGAAGGCGAGTCCAGCGCAGATTCAAGGAACCAGTGCGGACCTTCGGAAGTCTCTGCTCACGCTGTCTTACCTTCTTCCGCCGGGGCTCGTCGTGGCCATCTCCCTCGGGAGCCTCGAGACGGGGGTCAATGCAAACGGGGGTCAGCCAGAGCGCCCGATCTTGCAGGATCCTGCAGGGCCAGGGTCGCATTGACCCGGGTTTGGGTGCAGGATCCTGCAGGATCCGGCAGGATCCTTCGCATTGACCCGGGTTTGGGTGCAGGATTTTGCAGGAGCTTGCAGGATCCTGCAGGCTTGACTGACCCGGGTCGGGATTGACCCGGGTCAGAAGATCCCCGACTCCCCCCGCTTCCCCCCCGAGCCCCACGCGGCGCCGCACACAGTCCCAGGGTGACCCCACGGCGCCAGGACGAGGGCCCCCACGTAGGCACCCCAGGAGGACCCTCCTCCTCCTCCTCCTCCTCCTCCTCCTCCTCCTCCTCCTCCTCCTCCTTCCTCCCTCTCCCCCGCCGCCCCTTCCCCCGTCCATCCCCCCATCCCTCCCTCTCCCGCCGCCGCCCTCTGCCTCCCTCCACACTTCCACCCCGCGGCGGGGGGGAAACAAGGAGGACCCGTACCGCGGGGAGTGCATGGAGGAGAAGGACGAGATCGAGACGGACGGTGGACGAGGAAGAGGAAGGAGAGGAGGAGGACGAAGGGGATGAGAAGAGATGAGGAAACCGAAGGGAGGAACACCCACGTCCATTCCTCCTCCTACCGGCGTTCCCGCGCTGGTCGCGCGATGGGTCATGGTGTCAGACCAGGGACAGCTTGTCGCCGTAGCTTCGCGGAGGCGTGGGTGGGGGGGCGGGCGAGAGGTTTATGTGTGAACGTTTCGGCAACATGTCACAATGTTTCCTCACCTTGCACTTCTGTTGTGGGTGAGGCTCCGTCGCTGAGCCATGCACCAGCCCCCCTTGCCTGCTGCGCGCCATGCCTTGGTTGCAGTTGCGTGGTTAAGGGTGGGCGCGGCGAGCTGCCCCTTCACCTGAGGGCATGTGCCCTGGCTGTGACTGCGGTCCCTCGCCCACCCGAAGGAGGGGGGCCAGTGTAGGTCCGCGCGTGACCTCCTGCAGGCCGTTGCCCGGGCCTGGGCCCGTGCCCAATCAGCTTTCAAGAACGATAGAGCACGTGATTTGTGCTCCGCAGGCGAGTGCACAAGCAAGACGATGCAGCATGTGCTACGCTTCATCTCCCCCTGCTCATGGAGAAGCCTCCTCCTGACTGTGTGTTCCACTGCCGTGCTTTTTTTCCCCTCGCATGCAACGCACGGGCGTTGCTTGCGGAGGAGGACCATCACGGCCACCATGGCAGGTAGTGAGGACACGGGCACGTCTCCATTACCTGTGGGGCCACTGTAGACACGCTAATGGCGATGTTGGTAACGGCGATGTAGGTTTCGGTATTGTAGGTGGGGATGGATCGTGGCCAACCCAATGATAGGAAGGCGTTCTTCGCGTTTTCCTACAATTCGCCGTGGCGCTTTCGCTCGGTACATTCGCGTTTTTGACATGAAGGAAAGTGTGGTTCGCGATTCCCCACGACTTGTTCTGCGCGAGGTCGGCGTCGCGAAAACCAGATTCCCAACATCGCCGTTAACCAACATCGCCGTTATCGTGGTGTTGGGGCCAGGGGGGGGTGGAGTGGATGGGAGCAGGGAGGACGGAGCCCTAGGAGCGCCGGACCTGTGGGCAAAACAATAGCGACCACGCCTCCGGCGAGCTGCCCCGAGGGGCAACGATAGGGGGCCACTGGCACAGGAGGAGGAGGAGGAGGAGGAGGAGGAGGAGCGGACCACCTGTGCGAGAGGTGGTCCCCTCCGTTTCTGTTCCTCCTCCTGTTGGCAGGGATGCTTGTTGGCACCAACACTGTCTTTAAAGGCGGAAGAAGGGGAGGAGGAGGAGGAGGAGGAGGAGGAAGAGGACCAGTGCAAACCCAAGATTCATCAACGATGTTGGAAAACACCCTCCCTCCAAGATCTCTCTTCACGGGCCCCTACAAGGAGTCATTTCCATTGAGGGGATCGCCCCGTTGGAGGACAACCGTGTGAACATCCTGAAGCGTGCCAAAACACCCTTCTCGAGACTTCAACGCCGAGAGTTGACCTGATTGTCACGTCTTGGCGATCCTGATCCGTGTCAGACACAGTTCCTGGGACCTCAACACCGCGAGTCAACGTGGCTGTCGCGCCCTGACGGTCGTGAACGGCTCCAAAGCCCCACACGTTTGGCATTTTCACCCTGAGAACCAGTGAGGCGCTTGCACACGTTCCGCCCTCAGTCCGTGAGACTCTTGCAGATCTTCGAACGACTGCGCGCGGTGCTCAGGCGACAGCCACATTTTGAAAACGACCCGCTCTCATCCCGTGAAGATTTTGCAAATGTTGAAAGCGAATGTGCGCGGCGCTCAAGAGAGAGCCACATTTTGAAAACGAGCAGACCTGAACCCGCGAAAGTATTGCAAACGTTTCGAGCGAGTGTGCACACGGCGCCGAGGCGAGAACCACATTTTGAACACCACCCGCCCTCATGCCGTGAAGCTCTTGCAAATATTAAAAAACGGCGATGCGCGATGCTAAGGCGAAAGCCACATTTTGAAAACCACCCGCCCGCAACACGTGAAACTCTGAATGTCTGCTTGTGATTAACAAAAGGCCTACCCCCCTCCCCCGCCGCTGATGAATAGACCCCGTGGGTCGCGATATTTGGTTTCAATCACGCGCGCCTGGGGGAAGGAGGGGAGAGGAAGGGGAGGGGGGAGAAGGAGGACATAGGAGGAGAAGGAGGAGGACGAGGAAGAGGAGGAGGAGCAGGGAGGAGGAGGAACAGGAGCAGCAGGAGGAGGAGGAGGAGCAGGAGGAGCAGGAGGAGGCTCTTGGAACATCGGCGACGTGAGCTGCTTGGCAAATCCCCCTTTGTGCTGCGCCCAGCTTTCGTCCAGCCCGCCTCGCTCGCAGGCCCACATCGGCTCGACTGAAAGAACGGCGTCCTGGCTCGCCCTTGCCTCCAAACATCCCCTCCCTGCCCCTCGTTGGCGGCGGGACGTCGGTGCTGACTGGCGCCGCCCCGTTGATGTTCAATCTGGCGGGCGCCCCCCCGCCATTTGCCCGAGCAGGGGAATTATGTTTTACAGCATGCGCCCCCCGCGTATGTGTCAACCACAAGCTGACATTGCAAACGCTTCAGACGAACACGAGCGGTGCGAAGGCGAGAGACACGTGTTGAAAACCACCCGACCGCAATTCGCGAAGATGTTGACAATTTTTACATAACAGGGTCATCAGTGGTGAGGAAGTCTCAGGCGAAACGCTTGGCCTGTCCCTTCGACCGGCTTCGGGGTGCGACAGGAAGGAGTTGTCTACAATGGACGAGGAGGAGGAGGAAGACCAGTGCAAACCAAAGACGCATCAACGATGTTGCAATACACCCGCCACATTTTGACAACGACCCGCCCTCCACTCGTGAAGCGTTTCTGCAAAATGTTAAGACCAATGTGCGCGGCGCGAATGCGACAACCACATTTTGAAAACAGCCCGTCATTGTTCCGTGAAGGTGTTGTAATTTCAGCATCATGATCATTGATGTTGAGGATGTCTCAAGCGAAACGCCTAGCCCGCCTTACCGACACGTTTCGATGTGCGACAGGGAGGGATTATCTATGAAGAGGGCATGGAGGATAAGGAGGAGGAAGAGGAAGCTGCGCTGCAAGGCGGTTACGAGGGTTTCCGGGGGAGTGGGGGGACAAGGGATGAGGCGAGGGACGGGAGGGAGATGGGAGAGTGGAAGTCCCCCCCCCCCCCAGACATCCGACGTTGCGTTGTTTTCACAACGAGGCTTCCCAAATGTCTGGAACCCAAGCCAGGGACCGGCGTTTCATCCTGAATAGTTTCTTGGCGGTCCTGAGGCCCGGTAGGGGCTCCAAGAAGCCGGGAACAATCAGACATTGTCGCCGTCTTTTTTTCACGACGCGAGGATGTCAGGGCCCATCAGGGCCCCCACCCCTTCTCCCCGCGCGCGACGCAAGGAGGCGGAGGGCCAGCTGTTCGATGCGCGGGCCAGCTGCTCGCACTCGGCTGCTGGCAGCGCCCCCCCCGCGGCAGAACGTCGACGGCGTGGGCGACCACGACAGCGGCGGCGACGACGGCGGCGACTGCGACAGAGACGACGGCGACGACGAGGACGGCTCTAGGACGGCGTCCTCGTGTCGGACTCGGAGGCGTGGGGTGTTTTTGGGGCTGCCAGACGCACCTCGAAAAATTGTCGGGGACGGACACCAGGACGGGTCCAGGGCCGGGGGCCGATTCGGAGCACATTCTTGTAGGACTACAACGACGAGGACGAGGACGACGCCGACGACGACGCCGACGACGACGACGACGACGACGACGAAGACGACGACGACGACGACGACGACGTCGGCGGCGGCGACGGCGGCGGCGGCGACGGCGACGGCGGCGACGGCGACGGCGGCGACGGCGACGGCGACGGCGACGGCGACGGCGACGACGACGACGACGACGACGACGACGACGACGACGACGACGACGACGACGACGACGACACTGGCGTCGACGGCGACGACGATGGCGACGATGGCAGCGGCGGCGGCGGCTACGACCAAGGCGGTGGCAGCGACGGCGGCGGCGGCACCAGCGCCACAACCCGCAGCTTGCAGGCATCGTGCGCTTGATGGCGCGGTGGCTGGCCTCCCGCCAGCAGGCGCCGGTTGCCCGCCGCGGGTGGCGACGACGACAACGAAGCCGCCGCCGCCGCAGACATCGACGACGACGACCACGACGACGACCACGAGACCACGACGACAACCACGAGGACGACGACGACCACGACCGCGACCGCGACCACGACGACGACGACGACGACGACGACGACGACGGTTTGAACCGAGCACCCCAGGGGATTGTCGGGGGTACCTTCTAGGGGCACCTCCAGGGGTGCCTCTGGGGTGCCCCAGGGGTGCCAGGGTACTTCAGCAGGTGCCTCGAGCGGGCTTCCAGGGTACTCCAGCAGGTGCCGCAAGCGGGCTTCCAAGGTCACCCGCGGGGGCGCGGAGAGAGAGAAAAATTATTTGGGTGACCAGCACTTTAGGCACCATCAAGGGTTCCTCCAAGGCGGGCACCTCAGGAGGGCACCTCGGCACCGCGAGGGGTGTTTCGAGGACTCCCCCAGGGGTGGCAGCCAATCCGCGCGTCGCGCTTCCGAGATGAGGCCGACGACGACGACCACCTCGACGGTGACGACGACAACGACGACGGCCATCCTGCGAAGATGTGACCCCGACAGACATGTCAACCTTCATCTGTTTCTCCCTCCCCCTTTGTACCCGCCCGCTCAGTCTACGAACAGGCCCCTTTTGGGCGGGGGAGCGTTTTTTCACACGAGCTCCGGAGAGAAGCTCTCAGCAGTGCACTCGGTGTGCGCACTGCGCCGCCATGGCCTCGATCAGAGCTGACGCGCCCGCGGGCAACTCACCAGCTTGATTGAATTGCGAGGACGTCTCGAGCGAGATCCCCATTCCCGAGTTTTGGGGCCTCTCTGGCCAGGGCGTCCTAATTAGGGTAAATTCTTCACGCTTCGCGCATCCCCACCATCCCATTCACATGCCCCACCCATGAGAGTTGGCGGGAAAAGGGACGAAGCGACACATAGAGTAAAACAAAGCGGGGTAAGGGGAAGGGCGTGACCTTAGATGGCCTCTTCGGGCCATCCTTTGGGTCCGCGTGGGGGCGATGGAAGGAGGAGGAGTAGGAGAAGGAGGAGGAGGAGGAGGAGGAAGTTGACGATGCCGACCGCGACCACCACGACCACCACGACCACCACGACCACCACGACACGACCACGACACGACCACGACCTCGACCGCGACCTCGACCACGACCACGACGACCACGACGACGAGGAAGAGGAGTAAAAGTAAAAAGGAAGACGATGAGGGCAAGGTTGAGGACGAGGACAGAGCCCTCAAAATCGCCTCCTGGAGCCATCTTGGGACTTCCGGGGGATATTGGGGTTCTCTTGGGGCTCTTGTGTTGGTCTTGTGGACCTCGTCGGGCCTATTTGTCGGAAGTTATCTTGAACAATCGTCGGTTATCTTGAGCCATCGTAGATGCCATTCTGGAGCATTGGGCGCCTTCTTGGAGTCATCTTTGACTCTCTAACCGAACGCGGCCCGCTCCGAATTACCTCAGGAAAGGGGGCTTGGACCTCCCGAAGGTTTTTGGAATTGGAGAACAGATGCCGATTTGCCCAAGGGCTGGTAGAATTACGAGGTAGAATCGAGTGGGAGCTATTGTCGTCGTAGCCAGGCCTTCAGAAACCCACATTTGGAGCGAAACCCGCGCTCGAGCGGCAGCGTCGTTTCGGACAGCTACGGCCGCTGACGCGACGAGAGCGCCCAGAACCGTTACCGCATACCTGCCATCATTGTTTATTGTAGAAGTGAGCACTCGACGACGACCACGACGCAGACGAAGACGAAGACGAAGACGAAGACGGCGGTGGCGGCGGCGGCCGCGACGACGACGGCGACGGCGGCATGCGCTTGCGGCGCTGGCGGTTCTGGCGGCGGCGGCGAAGGCAGCGGAGGCGGCGGGCGGTGGCGGGCCCCCGCGCGGCGCCGCCGAGACGCCCGCGCTCCACGCCGCAGCGGACGGCGGCCTGGTGTTCTCCATGGTCGCGGGGCTCGGCCACGAGGCGTGCCGCGCACGCCGCGCGCGGCCACCCGCGGGGCCACGGAGCGACGCCGCTCGAGGGGGGGCCGGCTGCACACCTGCGTGCACCGGTGCCAGCGGGGCCGAGCCTGGGCCCAGGGCTGCCAGGAGGGGAAGCACACAGAGACACGGAATCTTTTCATCTCAGAGGAGGAGAAGGTACCCATACCTCTACCCTTCCCTCGTTTTCCCCTTTTTGGGCCTCCTGGGAGGACCTCGTCGCCACCGCTGGATTCGCTTCGAAATTCTGGTCAGAACGCACCCATGGAGAGGTCCGGGGAGTAGCGGTATCGGTACCTTTTGGTTTCCCCATCATCTGTGTGTATTTGTGTGTGTGTGTGTGTCCCGGGGCCCCTTCGGATGGGTGCCTACGCCAGCCTGGCCAAGCCAGGAGGGCAAAGGCAGTGTGCAGCGACCAATCGGCCCAGGACGGGCCTCGCCGGGAGCGGCGCAGGTGTGCCGTCGGCGCCTCCTGGACGCCGTCGCCATGGCCGCCCGCGGCAGGCACCTGGCATCGCTCGGACGTGTGCATTTCTTCCTCGGCGAGGGCCATCGAGGACCATCTTGGACCATCGAGCAAAAGAAACACGCACGAAACCGAAACATGCACGGGACATGGACGTCCGAGCGACGGCAAGAGGCAGGCGCCTACGCCACCGCGGCCGCGGTCGCGCCGTCGCCAGGCGGAGGGGCGGCAGCGCCGCTCCTTCTCTGGGCCGTCTCCCGGCATGGGGGGGGGAGGGGGCAATCGGGAGCCTGGAGACGGGGGTCAATGCAAACGGGGGTCAGCCAGGGCACCAGATCCTGCAGGATCCTGAGAGGACCCCCTCTGGCTGACCCGGGTTAGCGAGCCGCTCGTGGCCGCGAGTCGGCCGCGCATATTTGCCGACCCGGGTTTGCGAAGATCTGCGTCGCAGTTTTTTTTCCTGCATTGCAGTTTTTGATTTCCTGCTGACCTGGGCCTGGATTGACCCGGGTCAGAAGATCCCCGAGGCAGGAGGGTCCGCTGCGAGACCAAGGGGGGAAGCAAGGGGGCTGGCCTCATCAGACGGCTCGGACGGCCTCCAGCCTTCTGCGATGTTGTCTAGGCCTTCTCTGGACACGACGTCGGCGTGTCCGAGTCCTGGAGGGTTTTTGATAAGCCCCGCCGCCCTCTGAGAAGGCCTGCCCCCTCTCGCTCCCCCCCGGGTTCGCCGCCGAGGAAAGGCTGAAGGGCCGACTCATTCCCCCCCTGCGAAGACTCATCTTTGTGTTCTTCCCTTCCCTCCCTTCCTCCCTCTTTCTATTCTCGGTTTGAGAGCTTTGCGTTGAGCAAGCCCAGACATCAAGCGACCCGCATCCATTCTTGCCTCGCGAGACGGGACACGGCCCCCCCAAGGCCGTGACAGATTGGCGCCACATCTTTTCAGTCCTTCGCGCGCGCCATGGCTGCTCCGAAAGCCCCCTTCGTGCGCCCTCTGCACCACGGATGTCCAAGCCACCAGGCAAGAGCCGCTTAAAGGCAACATGGCCAGATAGCAGCCTGTCTTTGAGGAAGCCTGCGACTCCGCACTCTAGAGCAGTGGTAGCGTCGACAGAGCAGTGTCTGCATACACCGAAATCTCTCCCAAGCATCACGCCAATCTCGATCAGATCTACCAACAACACCGTTACGACCAACGAAGGGTCAGGGGCGAGCTACTGAGGTTGCGCGTGGAAGTCCAGATCAGCTACACCATGGTGCACTACTCCCTCACGCACAACAAGGCCTCACACCGTGACCCAAGAGAGCACGGCCGACGCCGAAACCCCCTAGGACAACGGCAAAGCCCTTCTTATCAGCCTGGCGCCAACTCGTCGTCAATGTGCTGATCGGCACCAGCAGCGAGGTGGGGAGCCCACTGATTTCCTGCACCAAAGGGAAGCCCATGATCTCTGCTTTGCGGCATGGCACAACACACAACTTACCAGAACCTGCGAGCGACGAACCATCGCCTGGGTGCCTTACCCACACCGCGGAGCCTGCCTGGTCACTTACGTCCGGCATTTACCCAGGGAGGCCACCGCGGCCGCATACCTCCACATGCAACATGACATCAAATCAAGACTTCGAGATCGATAGCAGGCGCGCGCCACGCGACCGCCGCCGCCTCCACCGGGGACCCCGCCGAACTCGAGCATACCCCCCCCGTCCATCTAGGGATGGGGATGCTGCCGATGTACCAGCGCCGCAAAAAACGCCAGCAGGCGACGAGTCGTTGGAACAGGGCTCATTCGACAGTGAATCCTCCAAAGATGAGACGTGGGTGCTGAGCTGTCTTGGAGTGATCGTGGGGCCTCGTGGGCCGTCTTGGAGCGCCGGGAAGCCGAACAGGCGAAAACGTTGAAACTCTTCGCAAAAACGTTGAAGAAACATATGATTTGGGCCTTTCGGGAGGCTTGTTGGGGCGTCTTGGAGGCCTCTTGGGCCGTCTAGGGCCATCTTGAGCGTGTTGGAGCGATCGTTTGGCGACTCGGGGCCCTCACGGATTGTCTTCGGTTTTTTGGCCATTTTGGCCCGTCTTGGGGCCGTCTTGGTTCCGAAAAAATGAAGCGGGGAGCCGCGCCAAAACCCCGACAAGCCGCGGCAAGCCCCGAGATATTTGAGAATGGGGGTCCGGGCCCCTGAGCACTCCTCACGAGTGAGGATTGAAGCTTAGAGGATTGGGCACAGGACCTGAGGACACGCTCACTCTGTACCAAGCGACTCGGTGGGCGATTGCTTCGCAAGAGGCGAAGATGACGGCCAAACAAGAAGGCCCAATACACACCAAACGATGCTGGCGCGGTGGCGGATTTATCACAGAACAACGCAGAGACAATTTCCGAATAACACGCGAGACAGCCAGGGGACAACGCACGGGACACCCCACGAGACAACCTATTGGCCAACCCAAGGACAATTCCAGTTTGCGCGCGCCCCCGCGGGACGGGAAGCCAAACATTTGCTCGACTTGGCTTTGTCTGCTGCGTGCACATCGTGGCCCTCGCTCAGCTTTGCTTCGCACGCACGATGCTAATCGACACCGAAACTGTGTGCCCGTCTTACCCTCCAACTTCCGATCTTCCCCAAGCAGTGTGTATATGTGGAGCTTCCTACCTGCATTCTCAGGTAACCGGGCCCCAGTGGCGGTCCCCAGGATCGTCGCCGCCCGCCGCCGCCGTTGCCGCTGGGCCCCAGCGGCGGTCCCGCTGGCCCTCGTCGCCGTCCGTCGCCACGCACTCGTCCAGGGCCAGTCTGGTCGGCTCGTCGCCGCCCGTCCACTCGCATAGCACAGCAAAGCATAGCATGCCATGGCATAGCACAGCTCAGCATAGCGCAGCACAGCACAGCACAGCACAGAAGTGCCTGCCATCGTACAGCCTACCACATCATCGCATAGCAGGGCGTTGTTGCACAGCATTGCACATAGTAGCATGTCATAGCATAGCACAGCTGATCACAGTACAGCATACATAGCACAGCATTGCACAGGATAGCATAGCATAGCATCGAATAACACATTAGCAGACCACCAGGGGAGAACATGTTCAACATACTGCCCTACACACCCGCCCCCCGGGAGGTTTTCCTTGTATTGTGTGAGGTTGCTTAGGCAAATATTGAAAACCACGTACGCTTCACCAAGTCTGCCACCAGTGTTGAACTTCTGCGCGCGCGCGCACTTCCTCACCATCACGCGCATCAGCGCCTTCGCATCATCGCCGTGATCAGGATCGCCAAAACGCCGCCATTGCCACCACCATGAGTCGATCACCTTCTTCACCGACACATGGACATCACCATCATCATCATTACCATCATCATCATCACCAACATCATCATCATCACCATCATCGTCATCATCGTCATCATCATCGTCATCGTTATCGTCATCAACATCATTGTCGTTGTCATCATCATCGTCATCACCAGCATCGGCGCTGTCAGTGGCCTTGCCGTCGTCATCGTCATTATCGCCACTACCATCGCTACTATCATCGTCGGTGTCGCCGTTGTCGACGTCAGCATGATATCGCATTCTCTCGAGCCACTGACCGCGCTGAAGTACCCGCGCACCAGCGCGGCCTCTGAGACGCGTTGGGAAGTTCCATCAGCAAGCGACATCGCGTCGCAGTAGTTGTGCTAAAATAGCTGGCCGACAATTTGTGAGTTGGAAATAACTAGCTGCCCTACGTAGCTAGAACCACATAGCTTGCACCATGTAGCCAGCACCACGCATATTGCACCACGTAGACTGTACAATATAGCTTGCACCGCTTAGCTTGCACCATATTGCTTGCACCACATATCTGCACCGCATGGTTGCACTTCGCGGCTCAAAATTCTTCAATACAGTGGCTTACAGTGTGGGGTCCACACTGGCTAACATGTATACTCTGTTTTAGGGGTGGACAGCAATGGACAGAGCCGCCCACAACCCCCGCAAGGCCCATACACTGAATCAGAGCGTATTTTCAAAAGTAGAGAATCCTTACGTGAACCGTGGGCCCCTTGGCGCGCGGGGGGCAGGGGGGCTGGGCGGGGGGCAGGAGAACGACAGTCGGCGAATGGTCCGGCCCTGTGCAGCTGTATGGCGCGCAGGACGCGACCCTGCGGGGCAGTGCGAACAAAGGTCTGCGGAGCAAGGGCGCAGAGGCGCTGTGCACTCTTTTGGAGGCACGATCCGCGTGAGGGACACGGAATCGGGGCTCTGAGCGAGCAACGACACGACGACGACGATGACAACGACGACGACGACGACGACGACGACGACGACGACGACGACGACGACGACGACGACGACGACGACGACGACGACGACGAAGACGGTGGCGGCGGCGGCGGCGGGGAAGGTGGCGACGATGGCGGCGGCGGAATCGACGACGACGACGACGGCGACGGCAACGCGGATTTCCCCGACGCCGGCGCGCGCAGGGCGACGCCGCCGAGGCGCTGGCCCCGCGCCGCATGGCGCTCAGCGTGGCGGCGGTGCAGGAGCTGCCCCGGGCCCCGGCATCTGGCGTCTCGAAGCACTCGGGAGCCTTGAGACGGAGGTCAATGTAAAGGGGGGTCAGCCAGGGCACCAGATCCTGCAGGATCCTGCGAAGACCGCATCTGGCTAACCCGGGTTAGCGAGCCGCTCGTGGCCGCGAGGCGGCCGCGCATATTGGCTGACCCGGCCTGGATTGATCCAGGTCAGAAGATCCCCGAAGCATCGAGGCGGAGGTTCTTCGCATAGTTTTCGGCTTCTCGGGGAGCGTGGAGCTTCGAGTCAAGCAGTGGCGAAGCGTCCCGGCTCGCCAATAGTCTCACCAAACAATGTTCTAAGAACCTTCTGTGGTTTCCACGAGATGTTCTCAGAACATTTCTGGTGGAGTCTGTCTTGTTCTATCACATCGGGTTTCTGTTCTAAGAACGTTGTTTTTGTTCTTAGAACATCCTGGGGTTCTAAGAACATTTCGTGGCAGGACTACTGGAGTGCCGGGACGGTCGGTCCCTGCTCCAGTCGAGCTCCTGCGTCAGTCCGCCGGCGCGGCCGCCCCAGACAGGTGCGGGCGCGCGAGGTGCACGGGCATGGTGCGCAGGCACGCGCCCAGGGGCATGTCAGTGTTGCAGAGGTGGCTGCCAGGCTGGCCAGCGTCTGGAGGAGCACGGCGCCGCTCTCGCCGGCTCCCTTCCATCGCGCGCGATCGCGTGCGCGCCACGCGGCTCATTGGCTGATCGGTCTCTCGGGACTGGAGGAGGAGGAGGAGGAGCAGGATGGGGAGGAGGAGGAGGAGGAGGAGGAGGAGGAGGAGGAGGAGGGAGGAGGAGGAGGAAGGGGAGACCCCCCAAGAGGGGCCTCGGGGCCGTCAAAAGAGCGCTCGGGACGAGAGCCCGGTCCCCGGGGGGAGGGGTCGAGGGGTCGGGGGCCCGCGCCCCCAAAAGACCGAGGCGCCGGATGTTTCGGGGGCGGCAAAGAGGGGGGTGTCCTCCTCCTCCTCCTCCTCCTCCTCCTCCTCCTCTCCTCCTCCCTTTCCTCCTCCTCCTCCTCCTCCTTCCTCCTCCTCCTCCTCCTCCTCCTCCTCCTCCTCCTCCTCCTCCTCCTCCTCCTCCTCCTCCAGGGGGGGGTGGACATCATGGCGTGGGCCATGATATTTCCCCAGATTCCATGGCGCCTCCTCTTACTTCTTCACGTCCCTGGCCCCCCCGCTGGGCCGCGCACGTGCCGCCGGTCATGATTTGCACCCCCACCTCTTGGACACCCCCCTCTTGGCCGCTCCCGATGTTTGGGGAGGGAGGAGGGGAGTGGTTGAAGTTCGACGACAGAGGGAGCAGCGGCCGGTGTTGGTGGTGGTCGCCGACTTGCTTCTCAGGTCTGTTGATTCGGTATCGGGGGGGCCTGCTTTCAGGGCCAGGGGCATCATAAATTTCTCAGGGGCGAGAGCTGGACCTCCTGAGAGGCCGCGCATTGAAAACATATCTCGCAGGATGTCCAGGTCTCCCGCCCGCCCGCCCGCCGGTGCACAACGAAATGCAGCCGAGACAGCCCGATTCCTTCTTCTCAATGCTCCTCCGCGTCCTCTCCCTGCCCTCCCCCTGCTCTCGCTGCTTCTGCTGCTGCTGCGGCTCTTCCTCCTACGGCCTCACTCACCTGGTCTCGCGATTCCATGGCACTTGTCCGCGCTAGTGGTTCGTTCGTTCCTTCCTTCCAGGGAGAGATGCGGAGGAAGAAAAGAGATGGAAAAGGACGAGGAGGACAACGCGGAGAGAGAGAGAGAGAGAGGAAGAGAGAAAGAGAGAGAGAGGGAAAGAGAGAGAGAGAGAGAGAGGCGAAGAGGCGAAGAGGAGGAGGAGGAGGAGAAGGAGGAGGAGGAAGAGCACGCGGACGGTTTCCATCAGCGATCTTACTGCGACTCGGAGCCTCTTTGGACCGTCTTATGGGGGCCTCTCGGGGCCCTCCTTCCCCGCCGTGGGGTCTCAAAAGGGAGCCTGCCAGAGGGTTGGGCCCCCGGAGGCGCGTCTCTCCCACACCAAACGGTTCTTCCCAAACAAAACTTTGGCGTGGGTGACCCAGGCCTTGGTTTGGGAAGCCTCGGTATGGTTTGGGGAGACCCCGGTTGGTTTGGGAAGGCCCGGTTGGTGTGGGAGGACCCGCGGTTGCGGTTTGAGAAGACCCGGTTGGTTTGGGAAGACCCGGTTGGTGTGGGAAGGCCCCGTGGGTTTGGGAAGACCCGGTTGGCCTGGGCAGACCTGGTTGGTTTGGGGAGACCCGGCCGTTTGGTTTGGGAGACCCGCGTTGGTTTGGGAAGGCCCGCGGTGGTTTGGGAAGACCCGGCTCTCGTGGTTTGGGAAGACCCGGTTGGTTTGGGAAGACCCGGGGCTTCGGTTTGGGAAGGCCTGGGGCTTTAATTTAGGAAGACCCGGTTGGTTTGGGAAGACCCGGTTGGTTTGGGGAGACCCGCGGGCGTTTGGGAAGAGCCGGCCGCTGCGGTTGGGAAGACCCGGGTGGTTTGGGAAGACCCGGTTGGTTTGCGGAAGCCCGGGTTTGCGGTTTGGGAAGATGCGGTTGGTTTGGGAAGACCCGGTTGTTTGGTTTGGGAAGACCGGGTTGGTCTCAGAAGACCCGCGGCGGTTTGGGAAGACCCGGCCCACGTGGTTTGGGAAGACCAGGGTGGTTGGGGAGACCCAGTTGGTTTGGGAAGACCCCGAAACGCGGTTGGTTTGGGGAGACCCGGCCATTCGGTTTGGGAAGACCTGGTTGGTTTTGGTGGGACCCGGTCGGTTCGGGAAAGCCCAACCGATTGGTTTGCGAAGACCCGATTGGTTTCGGAGGACCCGGTTGGTTTGGGAAGACCCGGCCGCTGTGGTTTGGAAAGGCCCGTTTGGTTGGGATGACCCGGTTGGTGTGGGAAGACCCGGGGTCGTGGTTCGAGAAGACCTGGGAGCGTGGATCGGGACCCCCACATCGGGCGAATAGGGAAGGGAGGGTATTTCCAAGGGGGGGAATGAAGAAATGGGCCCTAAAGGAGCCTAAACGGCCCCTCTATAGGGCCCCAAAAACTACCAAGACGATGCCGGGAGGGAGAACGCGAGTCAACCGTTCGAGCTCACCCCCCCGGACGCACCCGAGGTGTCCCCAAGAGTTCCCGAGAACCCCCAAGAAGCCCCAAGGGCCCCCCAGAGGCAACGAGACGCCACAACGGGCTCCCAGGATGCCGCCAACTGCCCACTACATGCACCCGAGAGCCCCCCGGAAAGATCCCAAGGAGCAAACGCATGAGAATGGAGAGCCCACGAGGAACAGGAAGAGGCCTCGGCCGGGTAGATCTTGCTGGAAGCTCGAGCGCGCGCCAGCACAAGCAGAGGCGACGAGCGACGAGCGGCGACGAGCAGGCACGGGCAACGACGAACAGCGACGACGCTGAAATCCCCAAGACGACAAGGACGCTACAGAGGCGAATCCTGTGACACTGGAGCCCCTCCCTCTTCCCTCCCCTCCTCCTCCTCCTCCTCCTCCTCCTCCTCCTCCTCCTCCTCCTCCTCCTCCTCCTCCTCCTCCTCTCCTCCTCCTCCTCCTCCTCCTCCTCCTCCCTCCTCCTCCTCCTCCTCCTCCCTCCTCCTCCTCCTCCTCCTCCTCCTCCTCATCCTCCTCCTCCTCCTCCTCCTCCTCCCTGCACCGACGAGGGCGCCAGAGAGAGAGGTTCTGCGACGCTGAAGCCCCCGAAACGGCAAGAACGCAGACCCTGGCACAGCGAGAACGCTACAGTGACAAGTTCTGCGACACCGACGCCCCCGAGGCGACAAGCACGCTGCAGGGGCAAATTCTGGGACACTAGAATCCCTGATGCGACGAGGGCGCTACAGAGACATATTTTGTGGTACTGAAGTTCCCGAGGCGACAAGGACGCTACAGAGAGAAAGCTTGCCGCGCTAAACCCGTGATACGACGAGGGCGCTGCAGAGACAAATCCAATGACACTGGCGCCCCCGAAACGATGAGTTCGCAGCCCCTGTCGCGACGAGAACGCTACAGACAAATTCTGTGACACTGACGCCCCCGAGACGACAAGGACGCTACAAGGGCAAATTCTGTGATACTAGAGTCTTTGATGCGACGTGAGCGCTGGAAACACAGTTTTTGCGATTCTGAAGTTCCCAAGAGGACATGGACGCTACAGGGAGGAAGCTTGTAACATTAGAACCCCTGATACGACGAGGGCGCTACAGAGACACATTCATTAACACTGAAGCCCCCGAGACGACAAGTACACAGCCCCTGGTACGGCGAGAACGCTACAGAGACAAATTCTGCGACACTGATGCCCCCGAGACAGGGTCAAATTCTGCGACAATAAAGCCCCTGATACGACGAGGGCGCTACAGAGAGATTTGGCGGCACTGAAGCCCCCGCGGCGACAAGAACGCCACAGGGACTAAATCTGCAACGACAGAACCCGTGGGAAGGGGATAAGACAGTAGAAGGGGGAAGGAAACGGGGGAGGGGGAGAGGTAAACTTGGGAGGGGAGGGAGGAAGGAATGGGGGAGGAAAATGTGTGGATGGGAGCGAGGAGGGAATGGAGGAAGAAGACGAAGAGGACCCTCCTCACCGCCCTCTTCCTCGACATCAATGCTACGGGACGACGTAAGTCAGAACGTCTATGGTCATGCGCCACGCAGCATTACAAGCTTGACGACCACGCGCCCAATGTCCAAATTATGGAAACGACAGCGGGGACAGAACAAATGACAGTCGGCAACATCCGAAAACTCTTGGAAAAGACGGCGTTGACCTCTCATGACGTCTCCTGATTTTTATCGCCGTCAATTTCCACCCGGCTTCTGCCGGCGGAAAAGCCCTCAGTTTATTAGCGCTGGCTCTCGCCCGGGGCGAGAGGTTCACATCTCATCCCGTCGAACTGGACCGACGCACATATGAATGGCGTAATTACGCCAAATCGGACCTAAACGAGAATCCAACAATCAGGTAGGCCAGGCATGAAAGAACAAAACATGGCACGCTTCAGTTGTAGAAAACCTGGAATGCTACTTTGAGGAGGCCCGTTTGGTTTGGGAATGCCCGGGGAGTTGGTTTGGGAAGACCCTGTTGGCTTGGGAAGACCCTGAAGATGGAAGACCCAGTTGGTTTGGGAAAGCCTGGCACGTTGGTTTAGGAAGACCCGGTTGGTTTGGGAAGACCCGGGGGCGCTGGTTTGGGAAGACCTGGGTTTGGTTTGGGAAAACCCGGCGGTTTGATTCCGCAACATTTGGTTTGGAAAGACCCGTTTGGTTTGGGAAAACCTTGGTCCCGTTAGGCCCCCTCTTGGGGAGATCACCCAACGGTCCCCCCGGCCAGGAGAGGGGGGGGAGCAATTTCTGGCTTGGTGCCATTTGGACGGTAATTATGGGCGAGTGGTCTCGCACGATGAGAGCCAGTTTTTCATTGTTTGGGGCATGACGGGCGTCATGACCCCCGCACCCCCCCCCCCCCCATGACGTAACGCTCCCCCCTCCAGTGCGCTCCGGGCACCAGCACTGCCGCTGTGCGCATTGGGATCCGCGTAGGTGTCCGCGCAGGAATCCGCATAGGAGTCTGGTCCGCAGTCGTCGTCGTCGTCACCGTCGTTGTCGTCGTCGTCGTCGTCGCTCGTGGCTTGTCGGTCGTCGCTCATAGTCGTCGTGCGCGCGGACGCGGCTGAAGCATGTTTTCTCTTCCTGGGCCGACGACGGCAATCATCTAGAGGGGGGATGGCGGGGGCCGCTGACGTCACATTTCGCGCCGGCGGCGTTTCGGAATTCCTACGGAGGACGGAGGGCGGGTTAGCGCCAGCATGTGGGTGGCGATGTGCACCACAACGCCTGTGTACGCGGTGCCTGCGTGCACCACGGCGCCCGTGCACACCATTGCCTATGTGCACCACAGCAGCCGCGTGCAACACATCGTCAGTTTGTGCCACCGTGCCTGCGGGCACAGCAGCTCTCGTGCGCACCACGGCGGTTGCGTTCACCACATCAGCCGTGTGCAACACAGCACCAGTATACACCGCAATGCCTGCGTGCATTGCAGCGCCTGTGTACCCCATGGCGCCCGCGTGCACCACAGCAACCGTGTGCAACACAGCACCATTGCTGCATATAGAATGTGGTACTGAATCCTTATGACAACATGGAACGGTTGTGAATTCCATTGGAAACAGTATAACACAATCTTTATGGACAACGGAGCGCCGCTGGAGTCGACGTGTCTTCCCGAGTCCGCCCGCATCACCCTAACTCCTCCCTTTGCGTCCAGGAGGTTCCAGCTAAATTGGCTTGCGCTGTAGCGCCAACCCGCACGACAGGAGGTAAGGAAGAGGAGGAAGAGGAGGTGGAGGTGGAGGTGGAGGTGGAAGAGGAGGAAGAGGAGGAGGAGGACGGAGGAGGGAAAAACGTCGCAGTCAATTATCAGCAATTGCCTGGCGTGGCGTCTACTTGTCCGCAGCAGATATTCACGTACATGCTCCTTCTACCTGTCCAATGCACGCAGGCATTGTGGTGCACACCAGCGTTGCGTTGCACGTGGATGCTGTGGTGTAGACGCGCGCTGTGGCGTGCACAGGCGCTGCGGTGCACGCAATCACTGTGGTGTACACAGGCGCTGCGTTGCACATGGTAGCTGTGGTGTGCAAGTCTACGGTGGCGCTGTAGTGAACGCAAGCAACGTGGTGTACACAGTGCGCTGCGTTGCACACGGTTGTTGCGGTGCACGCAGACGCTGTGGTATACACGCGCGTTGTGGTGCACGCGAGAGTTGTGGTGTACACAGGCGCAGTGGGGCATATCGCCACCTGCGTGCTGCTCGCGTCGCAACGTCGTCGTCGTCGTCGTGATCGTCGTCGTCGTCGTCGTCGCCGTCGTCGCTCGTCGCTCGTCGCTCGTCTCGTCGCGCGCGCGGGCGCGGCTGCGGTGCCGGAGCCACACGGCGGGGGGAGCGTTACGTCATACCCTCCTCCCCCCTCCATGACGCCCGTCATCGCCGAACATGAAGAAACGCGCTTTTACAGACCCACAAGTAGTCGGCGGATTCCGTTTGGTGGTAGACGTTTTATCTTTGCAACCGTAATTGTTGCCCCCCCCCAGTCGGCCGCAGGGAGGGCAGGGCATGGGTGACAAAGTGTTGCTCCAAAGGCTTGATTCGATGCCCAGGTCACCTTAGCCAGACTTCCATATATCTGGAGCAGGAGCAGGGGTGTTGATAAAACGTTGGTGGCCTAGCTCTTTTCTCGGGCAGTTGTTGTTGTTGTTGTTGTTGTTGTTGTTATTCTTATTGTTGTTGTTGTTCGCGGGGCCGTCTAACATGCTTCTGTTTTGCCAGCCAGCAACTGGGCCCTTGGGCCCGACAAACGACAACGGCGGCTGCTGCGGCAATGACGACGACGATGACGACGACGACAACGACGACGACGACGAAGACAGCGGCTGCGGCGGCGGCGGCGACGACGGCGACGACGACGACAACGAAGCCCGAAGAAGCAGGGGCGTGGGGCTGCTTCGGGGGAAGGGGCGCCCTGACAAACGCCCCCCCCAGGAGTGGCGCGCCTCGGCCCAGACGTTCCGCCCGCCCCTGGAGGTGGAGGCGCGACTGCGGCTGATCGTCGCCGCCGCCGCCGCCGCCGCCGCCGCCGCCGCCGCCGCCGCCGCCGCCGTCGTCGTCGTCGTCGTCGTCGTCGTCGTCGTCGTCGTCGTCGTCGTCGTCGTCTCTCGTCGTCGTCGTCGTCGTCGTCGTCGTCGTCGTCGTCGTCTCGTCGTCGCCGTCGTCGTCGCTGTCGTCGTCGCCGTCGTCGTCGTTGTTTCTCGTCGTCGTCGTCGTCGTCTTCATGGTCGGCATCGTCCTCCGCTGCCACCATTGTCCCAAGTGCTCCGAAGGTCTTGAAGGGCCTCCAAAGGTCTTCCGAGACCTCGGCGGACCTCATCGCCCTCATCGTCGGACCCTTTCCACCCTAATCCTCCTCCCTTTCCCCCACCCCACCTCTTCTTTTTATTATTCTTCCTCCTCCTCGTGTTCGTCCTCCTCCTCCTCCTCCTCCTCCTCCTCCTCCTCCTCCTCCTCCCGGGCGAGCGTTCGCGCGCTCGCGCAGGACCAGCTCGGCCCCGACGCGGCGCTGGAGAGCGCCCCGTGCGGCGCCTTCTGCGCGGCGCTGCGCCCGCTGCAGGTGCCGCTCGCGGAGCTGCGCCCGCTGGTGCCGGCGGCCTGGGCCGCTCCGAAGAGTAGTCCTCGTCTCAAGCACTGATCTACCAAACAATGATCTCAGAACCTTTTGTGGTTTCCACGAAATGTTCTTGGACCGTGTCTGGCCAGGACTGTCTTGTTTTACTACATCGGGTTTATGTTCTAAGAACATTGGTTTTGTTCTTAGACTTTTTGGGTTCTAAGAAATTTTCGCCGTAGGACTATAGAAATGCCGGGACGGTCGGTCCTTGTTCAACCTTCGCAGAGACGAAACAGTCTGACGAGCCCCCCTTCGCCTTCGCCTCCAGGGCCCATTTCGATGCCTCCGGGCCGATGCGGTTCGATCCGGCTGCGATGGGTGCCGATGCCGGCTCGATTCGGCTTCTGATTCCGATGCGGGTTCCGATGTCTGACTGACGGCCTCACTGGTCTGCCGATGTCTGCCGATTCGGCGTCTCCCGACTCGGCTGCCGATGTCCGCCGATCCGATCCACTTCGATCGCCGATCCGACTTATCGATTCGATTCTGGGCTCTCCTGCCCCTCCCCCCCCAGCCAGCCGGGCCCTTGCGCTGCGCAGCGCCACAAGGTCCCGGTCTCCATAGGCCGACGAACCGTCTCCCAAGGAGTGCGCAGAGCCGTTGCAGAGCCTTCGGATTGCCTTCGCGGCCCCAGCGTCGTCGACGTCCGTCGTCGTTGTCGTCCCCGGAGATCCTGGCGTCGCAATGATTTCGCGCGGGGCGTTTCATCCGGGTCTTTGGCCCTGGGGCCCTCGCAGATTCAATAGAGTTCGAGAAATGCCACGATGTTGCAGTTGTTTCGTGAGCAAGGCCTCAGGGTTATCGTCGTCGTGAAATCACGCCAGAGGTTATCCGCCGCTTTCAGCTTATACGTGGCGTTTCAGTCCCCCGGGTCGTCAGAAATCGGCACAGAATGAACCCCAGAAAAAGTATGAAGACAAGTTTTAATTGGATTTTGGTCGCCGTTGTCGCAGTCGAAGTTGAGGGTGCTTTTGCGTTGCTGTGTTTGGGGGGCTCTTGATGCGCGGGGTTCTCGACAGTGGTCAGGGAAGGAAAAAGTACTCATACCTCCACCCCTCCGTCTTGGTATCGCTCGGAGGTGTGCATGTTTTCTCGGTGAGAACCATCGAGGACCATCCTGGACCATCGAGCAAACAAAAACGCACCAAACCGAAAAATGCACAGGAAATGGACGTCTGAGCGACGGCAAGCCGTCGTCTTCCCTTTTCTGGGGCCTCTTTGGAGGCCCTCGTCGCCACCGCTGGACTCGCCTCGAAATCCTGTCCGCACGCACCCCGGAAAAGGTCCGGGGAGCAGCGCTCCGTAGCCATTTTGGCTCAAGTAAACCATTTCCTCAAGGTGGTGCAGAGACCAGTTTCGCGACGGCCCCCACAGGAGGCCGCACCCAGGCCAGGGGGGCGTCTTTCGTTTCCTTTTCTTCGGGCTGCGACCACGCAGCCGCAGCGTTCACTCACGATTTACAGCCCTTTGTGTCCCCAGAAGCCATGGTCAGCGGCGGGCCGCGGCGATGGGTGGCGTGTACAAATTGCCCACGTAGCTGGGTTTTTCTTGATGTTGGCTTCCGCCAGTGCAAACATTGTGGGGCCAACTTCCAACCGCCGAACGGTTGGCCACCAAAGCGAGGTAAAGTGAATGAACAAGGAGGAGCTGGACGTAAATCGCAGTCTCATGGATCGGCTGGGGCTCATCAGTCCGACCTTTTCAAGCATTGCCAGAACAGATATCGGGGTTCGGCCACTCCATCGAAGCCCGAGCTTCAGTCAGAGACGGTGATGACGACAAACAGCCGCCAATTACCACGGCGATATCGGATAAGCTACAAAACCAGATTGAGTCTTTTTAAAAGTATATCGCCAGCGCCAGCACAGTTACGGATGAGCTCGTTCCAGGTCATGAACAAAGCATTGTAGCCTCCAAACAGAAGCTGGCGGAACTCAAGGTGCAGGCCGCAGTGCACCTGCCCCATCACAATCAAGTTCATCGCGCAACAATTCGAGTCAAACGTGCACGAGACAATGCTGACACGCTGCGCAAGCAGCTGGGCGAGAACACCGAGTACATTGGACATATGGAAACATTGCTGTATACGGTGCGCGATGATTGCAAGCAAGTGCAGCAGAGGCTCGAAGAGGCCGAGAAGCAGCTCAAAGTGAGGAGGACCAGCAGTCTCAGACGTGGGCCTCGACAGCAACAGCGCGCCTGGGGGACACGAACTCAGTCAAGCTCTCCCTGGAGTCGTTGACCGCCAAGGCCCCACAGGATGCGGAGATCGCGCAGCTGGTCGCCACGGCAGAGCAGTTTGCTACCAAGTTCGAGGAGGCCGCCAGCAGAGAGATGCAGGCTGACGAGCAGAAGGTTGGCCCGAGCATCGAGAAGCGGCAGCTCGAGGCATTGGAGGCACTTATCCCAGATGAGCAGCGCGCAGCCTGGGACGCCAAGAAGGAGGAGATCGCAAAGGCGGCGGGGCCACCGCCACCGACGCAACCAGATCGCCCAGCACCTGCTGCCAGGCCTGCGGTCGCCAAGCAGCCCGCGGTGCCGAAGCCTTCAGGACCTCGCTCAGCACTTGGAGCAGGCGCGGGTCGCGGCGCAGGTGTTGACAAAGGACAATCTTCAGAAGGCGCTACGCCTGGAGTGGCCATCTTTGTCAGGGCTACTCTTGGGGCCTACATTTGAGAGCCACCTTCTCTTCCCCCTGAGGGAATCTTCCTTAGGGGGCACGCGCTTTCATTTGTGGTAGAGTTTCCGGGGACCCCGGGTAATCTGCGCGCGTCGGTCCACGGAAAAGGCTCAGAAGACCCTTCTATCATTAACTTGGAGATCTTGGAGCGTGGCGCTACACGTTGCATTGCGTATAACATGCAGTACATTACCGGGGGGATCTCAACACACCGTGTGATTCCTTTGTTTCTTCTGGGTTCTCAGAGGCGCTTGGGGCTCAAGTTTCGGTTCCAGAACCTCCCTTGTCATACAAAGGCAAGGAGAAGGTCATAGAGTATTTCATCGTAGAGTCGGAGTCGACCAAGCTGGTCACATCATTTCCAGCAGATTTTGATTGGCACGGTAGGCCTCGTTTCCCTGTGCAGATAGGTCAACCTGCCAGTGTGCATCAGGTACGTATTCTGCACTTCGACACCGTGCCCGCCTTGTCTTGCGAGCTGCCAGCAGACGAGTGCGAGATTGGAGACTCGCACGACCATTGGTTGGAGGTGTTGGAGTGCAGCGAGCATCTCTTCCTCCAGCTTCAAGGACTAGCAGGGGTGTCTAAACCATCAAGATTCAGGAGACCTCTTGGGGTGCTTACAGGAATTGGGCTAAAGGGTATCGCACTATTTGGGGCTCCAGCATGTTGTTTCGGGTCTATGGGAAGAGCAGGATACCTTACGCCATTTCTTGGAATGACAAAATTTACCATCCCTGGTTCACCTGTGGACCTGGCAGGTCCCCGTTTGACATCGTCAAGAGACAGGGTGTCAGAAGTGAAGCTCCTCGTGCCACTGGCGAGGCCTCAGTTGGCCTTTTCTGGGATCTGGTTGCGCTTGTTGGGCGTTTCGTGCGGTCAGGTTGTTTGCTGGAGGCCTGGATATTGTTTTCAGTCCTACGCTTCTGCAGTTTCATCTTGCTGCGCATGGCTCTGCGAGGTTTGTAGGATACAGGCGAGCTGCGTCTACAACTATGAATGCTTCCAGGAGCATACCCCAAGGATTCCTCATACTTACCTCGCTCAACTCCGCCATCTTCTTCGATCGCTACTTCGTTGTTTCCCGCTCACCGCGTCCGGCTTGAGCAAAGATGTGCATGAGTGGATAGTGCAGGCCGTGTAGCAGCCTGCAGGAATGGTCAAGGATGAGCTGGACGCCACCTCGACGGTTGACAAGTGCGCACTTGTCGCCTCATCGGCAGCGCTCGGCAGAAACACCCAGAAGGCCTTAGGAGCTTAGGCAAGGAAACGGCATAACATCACCACCAATCTGGGGTCAGATTCCAGAGCAGGTCAATCGGCTACTGGTTCCAGTGACCGCGTTGGAAGCGTGGATTCCGAACCATTATTCCGAAGTCTCTGGAAAAGTGACGCGGTGGCAAACAGGGGTGCCCAGGAGCGCCCAGAACACGGGGGCTCGGGCCGCTCAAAGAGCATCTATAGCACCCAGCACATCGATTTCGACGGGACCTGAGGACATTCCGCTCAGTGCCGATGGCACGATTGAGGGCAGGTCTTTTTCAAAATTGAAATTCCCGCTTGGGAACTCGCCGCAGCTCACGATCTAAAGCTAAGAATTTCCGGCAGATGCACAGATGTGTCGCCAGTCATATTCAAACGAAGGCCTCATTGGATACGTGAATCACTGATCCTGGCTTATCCGAGCAGGATCCCTTCAAAATCGATCCCATACCCCACCCGAAGTCGATCCAGACAGGTTTTTCGGATCACGTTCGCCGCGGTAGAAAACGCCCAACAACACAAAACAAGTTGAGACGTTGTCGTCGTCGTCGGCGTCGTCGTCGGCGTCGTCGGCGGCGGCGTCGTCGTCCGGTGTCGTCGTCGTCGTCGTCGTCGTCGTCGTCGTCGTCGTCGGCGTGGTCGCCGTCGGCGTCGTCGTCGTCGGCGTCGGTGTCGTCGGCGGCGGCGTCGTCCGGCGCTCTCCCGCAGGTCATTTGCATCGCCTGGGGCGAGGCGGCTGGTGCCGCGCTGCAGGCTCTCGGCGCGGACTGGCACACTGGGAGGAGGAGGAGGAGGAGGAGGAGGAGGAGGAGGAGGAGGAGGAGGAGGAGGAGGGGGGAGGAAAGGAGGAAGGAGGAGGAGGAGGAGGACGAGGAGGAGGAGGAGGAGGAGGAGGAGGAGGAGGAGGAGGAGGAGGAGGAGGAGGAGGAGGAGACGGAGGAAGGAGGGAGGAGGAGGAGGGAGAAGAGGAGGCAGGAGGAGGAGGAGGAGGAGGAGGAGGGAGGAGGAGGAGGGGGAAGGGACAAGCTAGGTGCGTTCGCGTCATATCTGACATCCTACCCCTCCCTCCCATCCCTTACCATGGCGCAGATCCCCTCTCTACTCGCACAGTCGGATGTCGAGCAGGGCAATGATCCCGAAAGGGTACGCGGTGCATTGTAGAGCACGGCATGGCATGGCGTAGAAGAGCACCGCAAAGCGTAGTATCAACCTAGCATTGCATTGCATGCCGTGGCATGGCACGGGAAATGACGCCAGCGCTGCAGCGGGAGCACGAGTCGAAACGAGCGGAAACGCGGAAATGAGGCCAGCGCTGCAGCGGGAGCACGATTCGGAACGAGCGGAAGCACGGAAATGAGGCCAGCGCTGCAGCGGGAGCACGACTCGGAACGAGCGGGGCCCGATAATGAGGCCAGCGCTTCAGCGAGAGCAGCATTTTGGAAGAAAGTGCAAGCGAAAATCCATGTCCGGGGAAACCTGTGTGTAAAAAAACCGTACGCGGGGGGGGGGTCAGACACTTTCAAACCGTCATCAGGGGAAGAGGGAGAGTAGTATTCATATTGAGTAATTGTGGAGAGGAGGAGGAGGGAGGAAGAAGGAGGAGGAAGAAGGGAGGAGGAGGAGAGGGAGGTGTCTTGCCAGTTGCCACCCCATGACACAAAAAGAAACTCACGCGCTGAATGCATTGGATTCCCGAACAAGGCCCTTACGCGGGCAAACTGGCGGCTGGCGCATAAGGACGTGCTGAAACACCCAAGAACCAAAGCGCCAGCTGTCAGACTTGATGGCCGGAGATTGGGACGGATGTTTCTGTAATCGTATGGTGGCCTTCTGATCTCTTGCAATCATTTGCATAGCCGATTATATAGTATGGTCGATTGGAATCGCACGCAGCATACCGCCGGCAAAAAAGGAGTGAGGGCGGGAGGGAGGGGGAGGAGAGGGAGAAAAGGACGACGATCCTCCACTCCGCCCTGCTCCTGTTCGCGAGGAGGAGGAAAAGGGAAGACGATGGAGAGTTGTAACGTTCTGGAGGGTGGACGAGGGTGGGACGACGTCGACTCCGTCCACTCCTTTCCATTGCGAGGGAGCGCGAGCTCCTTCTTCTCCCCTTCATCCTTCCCCCTTCCTTCCCATGCCCCCCTCTGGAGCACGGGAACGTCATCGGAATGTACAGATCCCTGCCAGGCCCACCCTGGGCCCAGAATTGGCCAAGCCAGGATCGAGATGTGCGCGCATTTGATACACCGAGTGCGTTCACAGCCGAACACAGTCGTTAGTACCAGGCACTGAGAGAAGGCTCACTCGGCTGAGGAAACTTGAACTGGTTCACTCGACATTGGTATTCGAGTGCGCCGATGCAGTCCGCAGTCGGTTTCGCTAATCAACGACGTGCGTTTCGCCGTACACATTCGGTTGTTTCTGTACGCCGATGAGCGACCCCGCTGGGGTCCACTCGAAATGCGGCACCATGCGAACGTGGAGTGCCCTTCTGGCTGTTTTCACTACAGGGTGTTTCGCTGAAGGGGGTTGTGTCCACCCCCGAGTGGAAGGACGGAGTGCTCCATCGAGGCTGCCGCGGCACCCCTGGCTTCTCGGACCCCTTTGCTCCGGCCCGCCGCCGCCGCTGCCGCACCGACGTGGATGCCATGCAGTCAAAGTTGATAACAAGGATGCGCGGTAAGGATGCGCGATAAGGATTGGAGGAAGGAGCTGAGCTCGTTCCGTTTGCTGGCGGCCCCGAGCTTGCTAAGGCGCTTTGGTCCGACGTGTTCGTCTGGACGGCTCTTGGACCGGTAAGTGGCTTCGTTTTTTGTTGGAAAAGAGATGCGAGGGCCTCGAACGCTAACGCCAAAGCTTTCCGAGCGGGGCTGACCATCGAAAGTGGTTGAGGATGGACCGCAGATGACCGACGAGACAAAGATGCAAGGGTACCCGTAGGAAGTCGATCATCCTTGTTGTCAGTTTTGATTGTAGGGTCAGAAACAAGGACGGTGGTATGGATGCGAGCTAAGTTAAGTCACCCAGATAGGGGAGCGAAGAACAATCCGCCGCCGCATCGCACCGCTGCAAAGGTGCCATCCAAGCAGGGCAGCGCTCGAGCGCGAAGATAACCGCGCGTCGCACATAACGGCAGCGGCGATGCCGACGACTCGTGCGACGATGCCAGCGTCGGCGGCAAGGGCGGTGGCTGCGACGACGACGACGACGAGGACGACGACGACGACGGCACCGACGACAACGATCAAGGAGGATCGTGGATAGAGTTTCTCTTCTTGGGCGCCTCCCGGGACCTCTGGAGACTTGCGGAGATTCCCGAACGAGGAGGAGGACGACGACCGCGAAACAAGCGAGCACATGGGAAGACGCGCCGAGTTCAGGTACAGGGATTAAATGAGCAGCAGGAAAAAGGAGAGATGCACAATCTATCACATAACAATGACTATACCAACGCACATGCAATCAGCACAGTCGAGCGAGGGGGATGCGACATCACCGACGCTAAGCTCCAGGTCCGTACGACCTGTGCTGCATCAAAGCCAGACGAGTTGTCACAGAAACTAGGATAAGGAAATGAGACCGAGCCACTGCACAGCCTCGTCGGCCACGTCGAGGGGTCGGGGAACGGGGATAGCGGGATTACCTCGCGCCCTCGGGTGGACCCCCGACATAAAGTTATCTCTGCGCCACTTGCGCTGACGATCATCCTGAAACTGATCAGGGTTACAAACGTCAAACAGCTGTGAGCGGCTGCCTCTGGCAGAGTACGCTCCGCACCTGCTGCAGCCTACAATGTCCTGGGAAATATACAACCTATGCCCGCGGGCGCTCCTCGGCGGGACGGGACCAGACGGAGGCAACGGGGCCTCGGGCGGGACCGCGTGGCACCTGCCGAGAGGTTGGTGCCCACGGGGGCGCTTCTTCGAGCCAACTTCCACGGCTCCCCTAAGGACCTCCGCGGGCCCAGGGGGAGGCTCCAGGACGGGGGCGAAAGTCACTCGAGGGCGCACCGCTCTCACAAATTCAAGGCATTCCTGAGACCCCTGACCCCGATCAAGGCGGACCAGAGAGGGGGAAACAGGCGTAGGGTGCAAACAGCTAGGTGCATCTTCGCGTCGGGCTCTGACTGACCTATCTCCTACCAGAGGGACTCGATCCAGAGCCCTCTTGGTGCCAGATCCTGAGCTTCCCGAGGTGGGGGGCGGGTTCGGGGGGGCACGGCACGGCTGCACACTGCACGGCAACGCGCACATCCTCCGCTTCCCCGCCCAGGACCTGGCCATCTTAGGGCACCTACAACACTTCCAGCCTCCCTTACATAAGATGGGGGTGTGCGGAACGGCGCCTAAGGCTAAGTCAGGATGCATTTTTTTTTTTCCACACTCCGCTTCGGCACGGCCGACTTCGAGTAAGTTTTGCGGCCGATCGTGTCAACCCTGTCCGACGGCACATCCCCTGAGAAACTCTGCGAGTTGGCGATCCACGCGGCCACTTGCCTCACCTCCTCAAGTAGCTGCCTGTGCCTATCCACCACTGCCGCTGGTAGATCGTGCTTCTTGAGACCGCGCTTGGCCGCAAAGTCAGCCCAATCATTGCCAGCCTTGTCGAGCCTACCTTGGGTGTCGATGTCCGTCTGATGAGACCGAATCCACGTGATCCACAATGATTCAGAGAGACCGCCTTGGTCCTGCACCAGATGCCAGAATTGCTTCCAGAGGTCCAGGTGTTCACGACGGACATGCAGGCACCAGGCGGGTCCCTTGTGTATGGCCTCCACAACGTTCAAGCAGTCAGACTTGATGTTGAGGGGGAGAATCCCGTGCTTCAGGACCTGTATGATAGCGTACAGCTCCGCTCTCGGCACACTCTGCTCATGGCCTGGAAGTGGCCCGAACGCCAGGCCCTTGCACCGATGTCTCTGCATGACGGCGAACCCCCAGCCAGCGCGGTTCGCCTCGGGCCAGGCGATCAGTGTTCGCCCAGACCCGTCCGTGAACACATCACCTGATATGCCCAGGCCACTCTCCCATCGGTCGTAGCACCACTGGTCTGTCATGACAGGTGGTGGCACTGGTGGGAGACATGCTCGGGACATCAAGGCACGCGTGAAAAAAAACAAATCGTTGACGGGGGCCGCCTGTGCTCTGTGGACGGTGTCTTGCTCCACGGCGTCCACGCAGTGACGACGCAGAAGCGGGCATTCCCAAAACCTGTGGTGGAGGGCCCCGTCATATCCTTCATCGCACACCTGGCAGTAATCCATGTCAGAGAAGCCGTACTTGGCCAAGCGCTTATGCGTCCACTGGCCCCTAATCACTGTGGAGCGCAACGCGCCGACAGCAATGTCGTTCAGCTTCCACAACTTGGCAGTGGGCGGGGCCTGCAGCATCATACGGATAGGCTCCAGCCAGTAGCGGCTAGAGTCTCTCACTGCAGATGTTGTTTCAGGTGCAACGTCGGATCGGCGAGCCCACTGTTCCCACTTGACATTGACGCACGCTCTCCTAGCAACCTTTCTGACCCATGCAGGTGCGTGTAGCGTAAGGTCGAGCACGATGCCCGTGCCTGTGGTCCAGCTTGAGAAACCCGAATACCTCCAGTTCAATTTCTTGAGGCAGGTGATGACCGCCCCTGCAGGACCCGCAATTAACTTCCAAGGGGCTCGCGATCCTCTTATTAGCCGATCCTGTTTTCCCACGCCGTCTGAAGGACACGATGGGGCACCACGCCGTCCATCACAAGCTGGGCCCATGTGAACAAAGGTTCGACCGTGGCAATGCATTCTGGCTGCAAGTGCGGTGACGGCTCCAGCTGTGATGCCAACCGCGCTGGCGTAGCTGATGGCGTCTTGCCCCATCCCACGCGTGCCACGTTGGTCATAGTGGCCACCGCCCCTGGGGGTGCACTGGCAACCTGGAGGCCATGCTGCATGACTCGGCCCAAGCTGGGCGTGCCAATCTTCTTTGCCAAGGCGACGGTGCTACGGAGCCTCCTGAATCTGGGGGGGAGGGGGGGGGGGGGGGGGGGCGCTCCTTGACCTTGCGTACCCTTTTGTGCACCGTGGCATAGGTGATGGGCTTGCCTGACCTCGTCTCCATCCCAAGAATGTTGAGCGACGTAGCTACTCGAAACCCATGCCTACTGGTGCGCCTAGCCACCAGCTTCGCCACCTCGACATTCGAGCTGAGCACCTTGGCCTTGTCAGCTGCGATGGGCAACTCGAGGGCCAGCAGGACCGCAGCCAGGCGCTCAAGCACAGTCACGGCCGTGTCGACGATCGTGCTGATGTGCTCCGTTATCTGGACTGTGATGCCGTCCGCATACACATCTATGGACCTGGGTACGTGCGACGTCGAGGAAGCAAAAACGCCGAAGGGAGTAATCATCACAAGTTGGAGAAGGTACATCGCTGCTGTGCACCCAGGGAGCACACCCTGTCCAACTGTCACTGCAAAAGAGTAGGTATCGGCCCACCTGATGCGCCTATGCGCTGCATACATACTCATGCACATCTTGAGGATGACGACTGGGAACTCATGCACCTTGGCCGCCATCGTGATCTTCATCCATACCACCCTGTCGAAGCACTTACTGATGTCGATAAGGGCCGTGACTATGGTGTCCCCCTGCAGGCGGTCAGCAGCTTCTGCGTGCACCATCGTGCGCGCTGCAACGTCCACCGTGGACTTGCCCTGCCCAAGAGCAAAGAACGGTCTGGTATGCTCAGCTGCCCAGCGTCGTAGATGCACCACTCTCACTTTCATATACAGCCTGTGCAAGGAGGGCAGTCGGAACCCACCCGCTGGCTTCCCCAGCAGCAGTGCGATGGGTCGGAACCCACCCGCTGGCTTCCCCTGCAGCAGAATGTGAACCGACATAACTGCTGTTGGCCATCGGCACCATGTCTCAGCCGCCCAGATGAGGCACACGACCTGGGCCAGCGCCTCATCGGAGAGCAGGGAGAAGGCCCGCGGAGATAGGCCGTCGACGCCGACCCCTGTACGCCACGTGAACGTCGCCGCCGCGCGCCTCAAGTCATGCACCTTGGGCACCTCCAGGGCTTGATGGGGCATACTCCTCATGAGATCGGCGACCCCGCTATCCTGGTCGATGAGATGGTCCACGTCGAACTCCTGGTCTTCATCGTCATCCTGGTGGCTCAGGCTGCGCCCCTGCCAGATGTGATTCCAGTAGTCCATCTGGCTGTCAGCAACTGCCTGAGAGAGCGAAGTCTTGATGCCGAACCTGTCGACCTCCTGGTGAGACCACCCCTTCAGCTTGGTCATGGCGAACAGCGATGCAGGCCCTGTGACCAGCGCATCCTTGGCCCACTTGCGGAAGGCCTGGGAGCGAGCTCGCGCCGCCCTATCCTCTAGGATGCCAGCATGAGATTCCAGGAGGCCCGCGTAGGCCTGCAGCATAACTGTGTAGGCCACACCTCCATGCGAACATGCCTGGTGTATGATATTCCAGGCCCAGTCGAGCAGCGTGTGACCCTCCGCAGTGTGAACATCTTGGCGATGTCCAGGCCTGAGAACTCGGCCGACTCGCGCCCATCTTGTCTTGACTGGACGCGTCTGATGCTCCTGCGTGAGAAGGTCCTTCACCGCCATTGCGACAGCACGTAGATGTCGAGGCTCAGACCCTGCAGCAGGATGTCCGCCTCGCGCAGGGCCTCCGACAGGTCGGCGGACATAAGCTGGCCCAGCAGCTCTCCCACAGTGATGATGAGGCTCATCAACTTGATAGATGTGGCAGAGGTCCTTCTCCACATCTTGCAGCATGCCTGTGTAGAGGCCGTCCAGCCTCTGCTGAGCCTCATCCGCATCCGCAGGCAGTCCCAGTTGAGCATCTTCCTGTACTCGAGCAAGATAGTCTCGCTCTGGCGGTGGCCCCGCCAGTGGGTGGCAGCCCGCATGCGCAGGGTGCGCCCGAGGAGAACGCTTCGGCCCCGTCAGGGTGATCTGCATGTGGCGCCGCGGCTGCGCGGCCAGGTCGAAACGCACTGGGTGATGAGGTCTGGCCGGCCACTTCTCCACCAAGCGCGGCCTCTCGAACGCCTTGACCATATCCGCCGAGACCATCCAGTAGTCAATCATGTTGTAGTGGCCTTTCGCACTGCGACACGTTCCCTCACAACGTGCTGGCGTGACGATGGCGGCTGACAGCATATCAAGGAGGCCCATGGTCTCCAATTCGTGTGGGGGTGCATTCCAGTCCCCCGCGACAATGAATGGCACTGCAAAGTGGCGCAAGCAGTCACCCAGCCTCATGAACCTGGTGTAGTTCGCGCTCACGTAGTTGCTCAAGCCGACGGACTCCATGTACACCGACCCGATGACCAGCCCGCCTGGGAGCCCCGTCTGCACGTGCAGCGCCATGGCCCAGGCTGGCGATATGTTGAAGCCCTTCATGATAGGACAATCTGATAACATAGTGACGGAGATATGCTCTCGCACGAAGATCCCTACCCCAGCCGAGGGCTTCATTGATTGCAATATCCTGCATGGTGAAATGTACGGCTTCCATCCGTGGCTCAAGGCCCACGTCTGGGCACGATCCACAGCTTCACCGTCGAGTCTAAGTTCCTGCGCACGCACAACTTGAGCGCCCCCCACACCTTCAAGCAAAAATTGCTGTATAGTACTCCAGCAAGACCAATTGAAGGTGATCACGCCCATGCCATGCCTGCGTGCTCCCCGCGGCGCTCGTCTACGCATTCTGCCATGCCTGCGGGGTGTCCATCTCCATGCGCCCGTCTGGTACGACTGGGATGCCTGGGGCTCGGACTCCTGCGGCTGAGGCGGCTGGAGCTGGTGGTGCGTCCTGAGACGCTGCTGGAGCATCTGCGGCGGAGGTGCGAAAAGCGGCTCCGACCGCGCCCAGCCCACCTGTTGGCTCCCCATTGGCTTCTTGAACTGCGGGCAAGAGTGCGCCCAGCTGCTGAATGTTGGATACCAGCGAGTCCAGTAACTGAGCGCCCACATGCCCCCTCGATTGGCCGAGCTGCACTGACTGCTGGGCGCTGAGGATGGATGTCTGGAGGCTCTGCACCGCCGCTGCCACATTGGCGATGCCCTGGCCTCCCACAGTTGGCTGTGGGACTGGAGCCATGGCCACCTTGGCCTTGGCCACGTCCGCCTGGATGATCGAGATGTCCTTGGCGACGGCCTCGAGCTTGGCCTTGGCGTCGACCAGCTTGGTCTCCATCTCGGCGATCCGCTGAGCGAGCTTGTTCTTCTCAGCCTCCTTGGTTCCAAGCCTGTCCGTGGCACATCGCAATGCCTCCTCAGGTGACATGGCGTCTCGCTCCTGTCGTTCAGCTTGTGCCAAGGCGGCGATTGCCAGCTGCATGACCTCGTTGGAGTCGTCGTAGTGGAGGCGCCGCAAGGACTGGACAGCCTTGCGACACCGTGCCACCTCTGACCCAGCTGAGGCAGGTCCGCCAGCAGCATCAGGGCCACGATCACGCCCAGGATGATCGCGCGCCCCACGCGAAGGCGGACGTGGGCGGCTGGTGTCACGCCGTCCGTCTCTGGCGCGCCCACACTTCCAGCACGTGCTCCTTGTGGCAAAATTGTTCTTGAAGCCGCACTGCTAGGACGCCTTGCATGCCCATGACCCGCTGGCTTGCTGCGCCAGCTGCCTCCATGGCGGGGTCGGCGCCGCTGCGTCAGGACCAGCTGCAGCGCCCGCGCCTGAAGCACCCGGGGCCTGCATGGCCCAGTGCTCGCCGTGATGCCGCCTCAGGAGCCGCCGCGCCGCGTCGAGCCTGAACTCGCGGCGGGCGGTGGCTCTCGCCCGACGGGCTCGCCTATGCCAGGCGGGAGAGCGACTCCTGGACCGCGCCCCAGGAATCGCGGCGGCAGTGCACCAGCGCCCGCTGCACGGGCCGCTGGCTGGGGCCAGTTGGTCGCGCCCAAACCCTCGCCCCAGCGGGGGGGGCACGGAGCCCAAATGGCAGCTTGACGACGACCGCGAAGACGACGACCACGAAGACGACGACCACGAAGAACACGACAGAGGACGACGACGACAGACGACAACGGACGACGGGACGCGGCGCGACATCGGATCTGAGGGACGACCAAGACCCAGACCTCGGGGGGATCGCTGTTTTCATCCCGAGCGCTGCTACGGTCACGCCAGCGAAGGGGCGCTTCAGGGCCGCCGCGAAGGCTCCGACGACGACGGACGACGACGACGACGACGACGACGGACGACGACGACGACGACGACGACGACGACGACGACGACGACGACGACGACGACGACGGACGACGGACGACGGACGACGGACGACGACGACGACGACGACGACGACCACGACGACGGCAATCCTCGATCCTCCTCCCCCGCCCTCCTGAGGGGGAGAGACCCCGCTCCCCGCGGTGCGCTACCAGGGATTGTCCAATGCGCGCGTCCTTGCGCGTGGTCCGCGCGGACGGCGGCGGCGGAAGCGCCTGCAGCGCCGGTAGCGCCGACAGTGGCGACGACGACGGCGGCGACGACGACGACGGCGGCGACGACGACGGCGGCGGCAGCGGCGGCGGTAGCGACGACGACAACGGCGAAGACTGCGGCGACGGCGGGGCCAACGATTCCGCCCAAGGCCATGACCGTGCAGAGACCCGCTGGCGCGGCGATTGCCGCCTCTGGTTCCAGCGCGGCGCAGGCGCTCAGCTGTCGAGCCGCCGCCGTAGCCACCGTCTTCAGAGCCCGGAATCATCAGGGCTGCGGGTGGTCAGGGGTAGCTCTTGATTCGTGCCTCGGGGGCCCAAGCGTGGTTTGCTACATGGGATGTGCCTGCATTGCATCATGCTAGGGCTTGTTGTGTCATGCTGCCTGTTTGAATGCGTGATGCCCTAGCCTTTTGTAGTATAGTCATTACAATAGTGGTAACAGGAGGAGAGCAAGTCTGCCATGATCTGCTAGGTCGTGTCATGAATACTCTGGTACACCCCACTCTGTCACAGCATGAGTCGTTATGTCATGGTACCCCCAGTTTACTGTGCTACAGCATTGTCGTTTGTATCAGTTGCGTTGCCGTGATGATGCCAGGGGTACGACAATGATGGTATGGTATGGTTTGTCCGTTACATTATATCGTGATATCCCCCCATTATGTCACAGGATGATGTGTTATGATTTTGTATGAAGTGTTAAGTGATGGTTTGTTCTAGCATGTTCTAGTGTGTCATGGTGTGCGCGACTATGATATGCAATGTTACGCTACGCGTTGCTCATTACACCACGTCGTGATATGGTGTGAAATTGTCTACCTTTAGGTTATCTAGTGGCCCTCGGCCCTTCCTGCGACTGCGCCTGGGTTGTGGGTTAGAGGCCCTTTAGATGTTCGTTTGGATACCGTGGGAGGCCTCTCGGGAGCCTCTTGGAGGCAATTGTGCGGCCTCTTTGGGGCCAGTTTGGGGCCTCTTGGGGCCTCCTATTTGGGCCTCTTGGGTATTGGGCTCTCTTGTGGGTCTTCTGGGGCCTCCTGGGAGCCTCTTAGAGCGGAAGGCTCGAATTGCTTGGGCGATCTTGGGCGATTCTTGGGCAGTTTTGAGGCCCTCTTGGACCGTCTTGGGGCCCTCTTGGGCCGTCTTGCGGCGGTCTTGGGTGCCTCCGGGACCATCTTGGCGCGTCGGAAGCCCGAAAACGCGAGAACGCGGAGAACATAGAAACACACAAGGAATATCAGTGATTCGTGCCTCTTTGGGTCCTCTTAGGGGGTCCTCTTGGATCGAACTTGGGGCTTCTTCGGGGCATCTACCGTCTTGGGCGTCATGGAGTGTTCTTGTGCTGCCTTAGAGGCCTTTTGGACCCTTTTGGGTGCTTTCTGAAACCGTGTGGCCTCTGGAAAAATCATGCGAAACAGCTCAGGAACGCGCGGGAACGCTTGGGAAATCGAAGAGTTCCAGAGGTGCGTGGCAACCATTCGCACTGCCTATACGGCATACAAGTGTTGTAGCACCAGACTGGGTCCAAAAAGTTCCATCCGCTCTATTCCCTTACAGTGGAGGCCCATGCCAGGAAACACCCTGCTTGCCTCTAGGGTGCCCTGGGTTTCTTGGGCTTCGATGGTTTTTGCCATGGAAAGCGTGACGTTCCCACACCAAAGATCAATGGACGTCCTGGGGTCTCAGGGTCGGGTTTCTTGTGGATGGTTTCTTGCGGACTGGCCTCCTCTGTACCCTTCTGCGTCAGCGTGGCCGAGCTTTCCGCGCGCGCGCTGTGCGCGGGCCAGCGGGCGGCCCGAGCGCCACGGTGTTCGGTCGTTGCCCGGAGGCGAACCTTGCTGCTGACGGGGCCCTCGGTGCTTGAACGTGGCAGATGCGGAGAGAGAAACAGTTGCTGACGCTTCGCGTAATTATCCCCAGCAGCCCATCCACCAACGATGCCCAGGCGAGCTGCCTTGGCCAGGGGATGCGTCGGCGGCGAGCGAGGGGGGGAAGTGAGAAGGGGCGGGCCTTCCCAGAATGCTCGGGAGCCCCCTGGCCTTCTGAAGAGTGTCCTAAGCTTTCCCCGAAGACACCGAAAGTTTCTGCGAAGGCGCGAGGGCTTCTGCGAAGTCCCGCCGCCTTCTGAGGAGGCCTCCTCCTCATTTCCCCCCCTCGCTCGCCGCCGAGTGGGGGCTGCGCGCAGTGCAGCAGAGAGAGAGAGAGAGAGAGAGCCGAAGAGGTGCGCCGAGCGGAGGTCTGGGATCGCCCTGCGCTGGCCGAGGATGGAGACGCATATGCGCCCTCGCGACCCGTCGAGCGAGGAGCGGCGGAAGAGGACGAAGAGACGTGCGGTGGGGGTGAGGAGGAGGAGGAGGAGGAGGACGACGAAGGATGATAGTGTCTCAGGCGATCACAAACATGGATCAAGGGGGCGTGGATTAGCGACGGGCCCCGTTGCCATGGGGAATCAATGATTTCCACCGCCGAACGAGGCGGCACCGGCCGCATTTTGGGGAGGGCACCTCCCCCGATCCATGGATTTGGCGGCCGCGCGCCAAATCCATGGATCGCTAATCAATGTTTGCGCGCCCCCGATGTCGGAAACTGGATCATGTACATGACAAGTGGCGGGTTGTTTTTCCATCCCAGCACTTTTTGAGGGTCGGGAGCGACGTCGGGGTGGTGTGGTGTGTGTATTTTTGGTTTCCGCTTCCAGGGGGAACCACGAAACATGTATACACCAGGACCAGGACCCGTTTTCACGGACAGAATTCAGTGCAGGGCCAGAAGAAGCGTCGGTGTATAGAATTCGGGTCCCTAGAGTGGGAGGAGCAGAACGAGGAGGAAGGCGAGCAGAAGCAGGATGAGCTTTGTCGAACACGTTCTCACACATCTTTGAGTGGAGCCTGGTTGGAAGGAGGAGGTGGAGGAATAAGTAGAACAGGAGGAAGAGGTGGAGGAGAAGGAGGAGGAGGAGGGTGGAGGAAGAGAAAGCGGAAGAGCAGGAGGATGAGAAGGATATGGGAGGTGTTCCTCCCCTCGAGGGCCGCAAGACACCAACCAAAGGGAACTTTGCGCTCCTAGCAATGCAGAGCTATCCCAGCTAATTCGGGCGCCCCGCCATCCCGATTCATCGGGGTTGAGGATGGTCCGCGGCACGTTCCGGCTCGTGCGCTGCGATCCCAGACCAGAGTTTCCCCCCCGACCAGAGACTTATCCTTGACAATTCGAGCGCCCAGGTCTTTGCCTCCGTCGCCGCCATGCCGCCGCCGTCCTCGTTGTCGTCGCCGCCGCCGCCAGCGCCCTCGCCTTCATTACAGTGGGGACCCATGCCAAGAAACACCCTGCTTGCCTCCGGGGTGCCCTGGGTTTCTTGGGTGCCGATGCTTCTGCTGTGGAGAGCGAGGCGCTCCCACACCAGAACCCAGTGGACGTCCTGGGGTCTCAGGCTGGGGCTTCTCGTGGACGTGTTCTCCTGGACTGGCCTCCGCTGCACCCGCCGCCGCCGTCCTTCCCTCCGCCCGCCGCCGCCGCCGCCGCCCCCGCCCGCGCCCGCGAGGGCTGCGGCCGCAGGCCGCCGCAGGCCCTGCCCCCGGCGCTGGCAGGCACTTCGCGCGCCGCCGCCGCCGCTGCGCGGGGAGCCTGCTCGTCACCGCCGCCGCCGCCGCCGCGGTCGTCGTCGTCGTCGTCGTCGTCGTCGTCGTCGTCGTCGCCGTCGCCGTCGTCGTCGTCGCCGTCGCCGTCGCCGTCGTCGTCGTCGTCGTCGTCGTCGGCGGCGGCGGCGGCGGCGGCGTCGCCGTCGCCGTCGTCGTCGTCGTCGCCGTCGTCGTCGTCGGCGGCGGCGGCGGCGGCGGCGGCGTCGGCGTCGGCGTCGGCGTCGTCGTCGAGGCAGGCCCGCCCCAGGGAGGTCACCGCATCGGAAGACAGCGGTGGCCTGCGGCTTCGGAGGGGACTCTCGGGACCTCCGAGGTCGCTCCTCGGGGTCTCTCTCTCCTCGGGTGCTCTCTTCGAGGCGCGGGAGGGGCCAACAAGAGGCCGTCGTTCTGGGTGCCAAGATTGCCACGGCGGTACGGCTCGGCGCAGGAGCGCGCGATACCGACGCGGTCAGCGGTGTGCGGAGCTTGGCCGCCCGTGCAGGCAGCGCGAGCACGGCAGCAGGACCACGCGGTATGGTGGCAGGACCGCGCGATACCAGCACGGCAGCAGGGCTTTGGCACCGGGAGCCGGACTGGTACGGTGGCACGATTCTTTCTCGTCCCCAGCCCTCCCAATCCTCCCACCTTTCCCAACCCCAGAACCTCCCAACTCATCCAACCCCCCGGTACCCCATTTATGAGGAAAATATTGGAGGCCTCGCCCGTCGCGTAATAGTAGTACGATCTAGTCCACTTGTCAGTTCCGTAAGCTATGGGTCGATGCTCGCGCGGCGATGCTCAGGAGTCAGTCCGACGTAAATCCGACGTAGTCCGACGTGAACCCGACGTAAATCCGACGTAGATCTTGCGTAAATCGGGTATAGAGCTGCCGCGCGAGGCCTCCAGGATTTTCTTCATAACCCCATCCACCCCCCGTGCGATGATCGCGGCCATTACGGCGTTGTGCAGTACGGTGATCGCGGCCAGCATTGTATCGTCTGGTGCGGTGGTCGCGTCCAGAACGGTATGGCCAGCACGGCATAGCCTCGGCCGGTGGGCGCGGTGGTGCGGTAGTCGCGGTCAGAACGATATGGCCAGCACGGCATAGCCTCGGCCAGTGGGCGCGGTACGTTATGAGTTGGTACCGGTTGACTGGTATTTGGTAGCATAGCGGCCAGCAAGCGATGCGAGGCTCCAGTTCGTTCCCGCAGTGGAAGAGTGGCCGAAAGGATGTATTACGTGCAAGCGTTTGACATGTCGTTCCCACGTCATGAGCGGCGCAGCGAAAGAGAGAGAGAGAGAGAGCAGCAGCCGAAGCAGCAGGTCATTCGGACAGCATCCAGTTGATCGACAACGTTCAGTTGGACGTGGTTACCGGCAAGGCTCCTTCGTGCCCCCCTCTTCAGCACATTTCGTTGCAGGTACTCTGCAACATTAGATGTGGCTTGCAACTACGCAATCTGAAAGTTGGCACGGCTTGGCCGAAGTGATTGGAAAGTTGCACGATTCATACTCGCCTCAGCCTTCCCCGCCGTAGCTTAATCGTGTTGTGCGATGCCAGGCAGAGGACGACGACAACATCGACGACGACGACGACGACGACGACGACGACGTCGACGACGGCGGCGGCGGCGGCGGCGACACGACGACGACGAGCGGCGGCGACGCCCTCCTCGCCGCTGATCCCGTGATGAACATAAAAATTCGGAGGTCCGCGCGGATTTCTTGGATTCGCGTTGGACCCCCCGGAGCGCGCCAGGGGCGGCGCCGGAGGCGCCGCCGGGGGGCCCCAGCGCCGATCCGAGAAATCCGCGCGGACCTCCGAGTTTTTTGGTTTATGCCACTTTGTGTTCCCCTATTCTCGCCGCTGATCCCGCGAGCCTCCGGCCCCCCAACTCTTAGGTCGGGCCTGTCCCCCTTACAGTTGGAGTTTGGACGAAAGATAAGAAAAATATTCAAAAATAATCCAGAAATAGTGCCCAGAATTTTTTTTGACTATTTTTGAGTATTTTTTTACTATTTTTGAATATTCCCAGATTATTTTGTTTACTCTGTTTGGCTATTTTTGAATATTCAAAGAAAGTACTCAAACAATAGTCTCCATACTTTTTTTTTTTTTTTTTTCAATTTTTGAATATTCCCCCTATCGAGGGACACGCCCGACTGAACCCCAACTCCGACCGCGGCGGCCCGCGGGAGGCGGTCTTCCTCGCGCACGCCGGGGCCCTGCGGGGCCCGGGCGCCAGCCAGGCCGGCAGCCGCGCGGCCCGCCCTCGGCCGCCGCGGCCGCTGGCGTCGTCGTCGGCGTCGCGAGGGTCAGGGCTTGTCGGGCGGGGTTGGGACTATGATGCTCCAACCTACTTTAGCCTTACGATGTTCCAATCTACTTGAGCCTTGATCGCCAGAAAGAATTTCGAGCCCCCAAAAAATTGCCGAAACTCAAGGGTTTTCACACGTCGGGCCCTGGGAGACACTCGCCCGACACTGTTTCGACACTGTTTCGACGCTCTTTTGACACTGTTCCGGGTGCTCGAAATTATTTCTGGGATGCGGTCCTTAAGTAGGATGGGAACATCATAAGGCTAGGACGAGGATCAATCTCGGATATAGCCGAGACCCCAGGTAAGGGGACCCGGTTAGTGGTAGGGCCCCAGAGCCTCCCAATCTACCAGAATCGCTAAACCAGGTTTGCCGTGAGGGGTGTTTTTTCGGGTGATGGCAGTTCCGGTTAGTGGAACGTGGCGGGGGGGGCGTCCCCAGTACACATCATTAAACGAGGTCCCGCTAAACCCAGTTCTGCCAACGCCCGACAATCTCGGGGGGGATGATGATCAAGGGAAGGTGGATATCATGGCGGGGGCCATGATATCTCCCCCGATTTCATGACGCCTCTTCTTATTTGACTACGTCCCCGGCCCCCCGGCCCCCACCCCGGGGCCGCGCACATGCTGCCGGCCATGATTTGCGCCCCCCTTCTTGGTCCTTGGCCGCCCCCGATTTTCGGGCCGGGCTAGGACGAGGATAAAGTCGTTCCAGAGCGTTCAGGAACGCTCTCAGAGCGTTCTGGGGGGCGGTCTGAGAAGGCCGCGGCGCCCGAGACATCTTACCCGATTTTATCCTCGTCCTGACTTCGTCTGAGGTTTGGGCTGTCTGGGGCCCTGTCGGCCACGCGCAGAGGGGGGCCGGGGAAGGGGGGAATCGGGGTCGGGGACGACGTCGGGGTGGTGTGGAGTATACTAGTTTCCCAGTTGTCCCGCGGAAACAACAAATGTATACACCAGGATGCTGTATACACCAGAATCCATTTTCTTGTGCGAATCTCAGTGCGGGACCGGAAAAAAGCATCGGTGTATAAAGTTCGGTTCCTTAGGGAAGGCTCCTTAGAAGCACCCCTGCCCCTTAGAAGGTGCGGGCCTTGACTGTTGATGCAAGGCCTGCGTTTTCCGAGAGCCAGCCCCTTTCTAAGAAGCCCTCCCCCCTCCCCTCACCCCTAAGTCGGGTAAGCCCCTCCTACAGGAGGAATATCCAAGAATAGTTCAAACATAGTCAGGGGACGATGTTTCTTACCCTCTCTGGGGTCTGCTTGATTGCTTTGTTTGCTGTATGTTATCGTTCGTCCAGAATCCGCCTGCAGGAGGACATGCCCGACCGAAGGCTGCCCAGACCCACCGCCTGCCGAGGTCCCCGAAGATCGATTCCCCAGGCAGCGGCTATGGGTAGATCCCCGCCTCGCACATCAGGGAATTGGTCGGCGGGGGATGGGCTCAAGAGGGATCCAACCAAGCTCGAACTTATCCCTATCCCTAAGATGGACAGGCCAAAAACGATGACGATCTTAGGGATGTGCTCTCAGAAACTGCAGCAATCCTTCAGATCGTCATCGAGGTTCGGTGATGCCAAACGTAGGAACAGGGATATGTTTCAGACTGGTAAGGATCGCCGACACGGACCTGACAGCCCACCCCGCCCAGGAAGGCGCAATTTCGCTTTCGAAGGCGCATCGCCGATCTATCGGCGATGGCGTCGCCGACTCCAAGTGAATGCTTACCCCCTTGCGCTAGGCCCCCCCCCGTTCTTCCCCCTCGCTCCAGGGGCCTCTGGAGGCTTCCAGACCTCTCAAGGCCTCCGGTCACCACGCGGTCCACTTCTGTCGGAGAGGGAGTTGTCGGGGGAATAATCAAGAGTAGCAAAAAATGATATGGTCACCACTGTTCGTGATTGTTTGTCTATGTTTGGCAACTGTCTTATGATTTGTTGATTTTCTTCCAAAGTCCCCTGTAGGAGGACATGCCTGACCTAAAGCTGGTGGAGGCTCGAGGCTCAAGGATGGCGGAGGTCGCTGTCGTCGTTGCCTCGAACGTTTTCTGGGGCACCTCTGAGGATTCTCGGCACCAAGGCGGGGCGGGGCGCAACTCGAAACAGTGAGTTTTGAGTCGGGCATGTCCCTCTACAGGGGGAAAATCGCAGAATAGTCGAACAATAGTCAGGTGATGATTATTCGCGCTCTTTTTGGTCCTTTTTGCTCATTCTTGAGCATGCCTTATTTTTCTGCCTGCATCCGCCTGTAGGCTGGCATGCACAACCCAAAGTTGGTTGGTCACGCTGGGCTCCGGGAGGGCCCCGGGCGTTCGACGCCGCGATCCGATTCTCGGCACGAACGAAATGGGTACGGAAAGAATGGGTACGATGCCCAACAGCAGTTCCTGTTCCTTCTGTGCAGGACTCGCTGTCCGCGCCGCCGCGGCCTGTGCCCATTCGAGACAGGAGGCCGCCTGCCCAGCAGCGGCCGCTGTTGGTTTGGGACCACATTTGTTGTTGTTGGGCATCGTACCCTTTTTTTCCGTGCCCATTCCGGGCGTCGAACGATTCGATCCCGGCGGTCTTCGCCGACTTCGCCCCCCCGAGGCCCAGAGCGACCCCAGCTCACCAGCAGAGGGGCGCGTGGAGGTACTGGCGCTTCGCGCGCGGCGGTGTCTGGGCCGGAGCGGCCGCCATGTTCTCCGAGGCGGCGGCGCGAGGGCGCGAGGATCCTTTCGCGTCGCGCCCCGCCGGGTGCGATGCGCGACGTCTGGCGACCTGGGCGACCCATCGGGACGACCGAAATGGGTACGGAAAGAATGGGTACAATGCCCAACAACAGTTCCTGTTCAATTTTGAACAGGACTCGCTGTCGGTGTCGCCGCGGCCTGCGTCCATTTGAGACGGGAGGCCGCCTGCCCAGAAGCGGCTGCTGTTGGTTTGGGACCGCATTTGTTGTTGGCCATCGTACCCATTTTTTCGGTACCCATGTCGGGCGTCCAAAACCCATCTCCTCGATTGCCGGCTCCGGGTTGCGCTTAACAGATGACCCCCCCCCCTCCGATGGTTGGTGAATGGACCCCGCGGGGCGAAACTGTGTTTTTCGTCACCCGCGCTCGGGGGCGACGTGCGACCGCGCCGTGGATGCGGATGAGGACAGCCGTCGTCATTCACGTGCCGCGTCCGAGCGGGAGGAAACCTGCACGGCGCAGCGCAGTCATTTGTGAGCGTTGCGCATGCGAAGATGTGCTAAGGGCACCAGGAGGAGGAGGAGGAGGAGGAGGAGAAAGAGGAAGAGGAGAAGGAGGAGGAGGAGCAGGAGGAGGAGGGAGGAGGACGGAGGAGGGAGGAGAGGGAGGCGAGGGAGGAGGAGGAGATGCGCCTCCAAGAGATGGCAGGGCGTTTTGGTTCCGAGGCCACGCGGTCTTGCTTGCTGGCCCTGCAACGCGCGCTGCCTGCTGCATGGGGCCTGCGAGCGCGCGCCGCTCGAGACTCAACGTTTCGGGCTTCGCGCCTCCTCCGTCCTCCTCCTCTTCCTCCTCCTCCCTCCACGTCCTCCTCCTCCTCCTGCTTCTCCGCCTCCCTCCCTCCTCCTCCTCCTCCGAGATCCCTTTTCGAACAGAAGTTGTGGGTGCTCGATTGTCCTACCCCATGGGGCCACCGAATCGAACCTCAAAATAATTGTTCCGAGCCCAGCAGGAGCGGGAGGGAGGGGAGTGGCGGTCAGATGCAAGAAGGGGCCATTGGATTTATGCCTTATGGTATTATACTATCCTTCCCAACCTTCCAGGGGCTACTTGCGTACGGCTCGTATCTTGTCAGAGCGATTGGGTGCGATCCTATCCAGTTTGCCGTGCCGCTGTACGCCTCTCGTGTTCTCCGACGTGAACGACGGGATGGGGGAGACGAAGGGGCGGAGGGCTGGAGAGTTCTGGAATCGTCGGCTATAGGGTGCCCTACACGGGAAAAACTTCGTGGCGGGGCAGGGCACTTGTTTCGGGAGCAACTGGAAACGCATCACATGGTGGCGGGGAACACGTTCACCACGAACCCTGTGCCAACTGTGTTTTCGTCTATGGGCGGGGGGGCGGGGACACGGATCGATTATTTCTGTTACCCCGCGGGCCTGGACCACAAGGTCAAGAAATGCCACCTTTTGGTGAACATGGGAGCGAAACTGCAGGCTTACACGGGCCCCCGCCGAAGGACCATTTGCCGTTGTACTTCGAAACGCCGTGTTGGAAAGGTGGGGACGAGGGCCTTGCGGCCGCTCCGCCGCTGGTTTGGGCTGAAAACGCTATGATGGGTGCCGTACGATGGGGGGAGGGTCGAGCCGAATTTCTGGAGACGGTCAAAGGTTGCCTGTATTGTCTTACCTCCACCACTCCTCGCCAGATGCGATCTTTGAAGGGCTTGAGCAGGTGATCGTCACGGCAGGGCAGCAACATTTCTCAAAGACAACAGCCCCGACTTCGACGTATTCGGAGGACTGTCGCCGTCGTCGTGAACACCTTAGACAGCGTGCGCACCGTCGCCACAGTAAGCTAGGCAATACTCCAGGGTACGCCAGGACGGCCGACCAGGAACTCAAGGACCTGACGAAGGAGCTCACACGAGCCCGTCGATTTCAGACTCGGATACGGCGCGCCCGACTCGTGCAGGAGGCGAAGGACGCCCTTCGCAGCGGTCGGGGTGCAGAGTGCATGCGAGCGCTGCGGGCTGCAGCGAGATGTCGATATGGTCCTAAGCAGAGAGATGACAGACTGGTCCTCTCGGCTCTTCCTACTTGCGACGAGTGGAAGGAGGTATGGGAGGGGCCTGGCAAGGAAGGAGGTATGTCAGCGGCATTATTGGATTGGGAGCAGTGGAGGGGCACGCGGGAGGAGGAGACGTACGAGGAGGTAAGGGACCCAGAGATTGGCGAGTTGGTCGATTTAGACATTCAGGCTATG